GCCGCCGCCGCCGCCGCCGCCTCCTCTTGTTTTGCGGTCACGAGAAAATATCTCGAACCCACGAGCTTACGACTTTGAACGCTGCTGGCTGGCTGGCCCCCTCTTGCCTAACTGTGTCCGTTGTCTTTCCTGGCTTGGCCATCTCGTTGCACCGGGCAATTTTCTTGTTCGCGACGTTGTTCACGTCCTGGTACCACACGTTTCTAACGAAGGCGAAAGAGAAAATTAAATACAAAACTGCTGGCTGTTTCGTTCTGAAATTGTAACTTTCGAGAAATTTCATAGGATATTGGGAGAAAATTCCGATAACAGAGGAAAATGAGTCGGGTTAACGGAGGGGCCGGGGGGAGCAGGTAAACCGATGGATTTTCAGGCAACTCGGCTGAGTGTGATACGCATTGTCCGAAGCGTTCACGGGAGTGCGGTTCGCTGGTGGCGTTCCTGTTACTGCTCATTGGCCACCCCGCAACGGAGAGAATTGCGCGAAGGGCAAGCAGAGAACAAGCTGCTGCCTCTCTCCCGTGGCATAGCTGTTACGTAACCCTCGGTCATTGTTTGCGCGTGGTCGTCACAGGAGGGTGTTTGTATACCTAGGTTGTAACGTTGGATAAGAGAGGGAAAAAAGCGCGAATTTTTACCCCAGAGAAATAGAGCGAGATATCGTAGAGATAGAAGGAGACGAAGATATATTCGAGCAGGCATCCAACCGGACACGCGTCAGAAGGACTCTCCACTGCACCGGAAGCGTCGCTCTTCTACGTTTCTTTGTACGCGACGTGTTCCGTTTACCGTGTGTTTCGCGACACGCGGATTTTTGTTCAACGTTTTTTGCCCTCCGTTATCCTATCGCCATTAGTCGCGTTAGCCTTGTGCAGAAAACGATCAGAGAGAGGAGGAGAAAGGGGAATACAGGGAGGTAGTTAATAAGAGTAGCGTTTATCATCGACTTTGCTCTCTGATACCCGCGGTGTGTTCCTCTCACTCTCCAATTGCCACCTTGTCTGTCGGTTCGATTCTCTTTGCTCGACGTTGTTTCCGGTCCGCTTGACCACTTGCGATCGTCTCTCTGTTCTCCTTGAATTTATCACGTCCTCTTCGTCTCTTTCTCTCTATATTTATATGTAACATATACATATATATCCTGCGTTGAATCGTCGCCCGCGTGTATATCAGAGGCAAAAGAGAACATCGATCGAATTAACGTAATTACTTGTTCGTGCGAGATACGTGCGCGTCGTGGCAAAACAGGCGTCAAAGTCGATCGAGAGTCACGAAAGAGCAGGATTTTACAAAACGTTAATTGCTCGCGGTTTATACTGCGCCGACCAGCTATACAGAGGGAGAGAGAATGTGTGAGTGCGTGTGAGTGAGCGAGAGAGAGAGAGAGAGAGAGAGAGAGAGAGAGAGGTCGGGGCAGAGTAGAGAAAAATCAAGAGGTAAAATAATGGATTTTGAGGCGAGATGAAAAACGACGGTAATTTTTCTGGACACGTACGCCACCGTTCGGTTTTTCAGCGCGGCTTACGCGCAACTAATTACCCATATGCCACGTGTTATTATAAATAGCCAATCGTTACCGACACAGCCGCATCCACGATTCGCTCATAATGGCGTGTTATCGGATAAATAAAACGGATAGCCACGGGAGGGTGCGCTCCGATTATGCATCGACGCCTCCCGTGAGCGTATGTACCTACTCTCTGGCCACCCGTACTGTTTTCCCAACGAACGACCAGCTTTTATTTCTCGTCGACTTTAATCCGCACAGTGACGACAACGCCGATCACTTTTATTCGTTACGACGCTCCCGATTCCGCTCCCTTTATATCTGCTCGACGAAACGAGGTGTACATGTTGTACGTTCCAACCCTGTCAGGGGAGGGAAAAGTAGCAAGAAAAATCGAAACAACCGATAAGACTTAAATTCGAATTTACACACAAATGGAAGTGTTGCTTTTAACTTGTACACCTTCGAAACGCGGTTAAAATTGCGGAACAGCTACTGTGCGGAACGATCAAAATCGATAACCACATCGAACTAAATGCCTGACGCCTTTCCGATGGCAGGATGACGCGCCACGTCGCCGTGATATTCAACCTAAACGCATTAGAAGGCTCATTTAAATACGACACAATGACGAGAGCACGAGCGGCACGCGGTCGCACGGTATGATTCGTCGGCCGAAATAATTCTGTCCAAAAACAGTGTCGGTATCCTCTTCCAGTAACCGTGAAAATCCTTTTAACATATCCTGTTCGATATCTAGCAACGTTTCGACTTTCATTCTTCTACGCCGAATAAATCGCGTATATCCATGTTTCCACTTGTGTCGAACGGAAAATATCGCTTGATTCGCGAATCACCATAGTCCGTGGTCGCTCGTTTCTCCTCCCTCCCCTCTTCCTCTCTCTCTCTCTCTTTCTCTCTCTCTCTCTCTCTCTCTCTCTCTCTCTCCGCGCGTCAATACTTTTCCACGGTGAACGCGACGCAAGACAATCACGTTGACACCCGGTGATGGATGTCCTGGCTGCTCAAAATACCCCCCTCAGTTTTCCCGCCAATAAAGCCCATTGTAAATGCGAACTATTCGAAATATTAGAGCGGCACGGCGATTACCGGCCGTTCAGTCATCGCTCCTGACGCACCGTAATCCTTTCCATCTTCCTCCGCGTCCTTTTTTGTTCTCCCACCGTCGTCGTCGTCGTCGTCGTCGTCGTCTCCTCCGCTGCCACCTCTCTCGACTTTCGCCTGAACACGGCCTAAGTCCCCGTCATCCCTGAACATCTCTTAGCCTGTTCCCTCTGCAACGCGCGACGGGAACACTCGGGTATATACATATACATACATTTATATATATATATACGGGTGTTCGATCGGCCGACTTCCCTATATCTATATCCAGGTAGTAAATAGGTAAAAAGTTGGCGATCGAATGTCGAAACATCCTGCTGACAGCATATCTATTATTACCCGTCGAAGGTTGTCCCTCTATCTGCCGCTGACAATCTGACGTGCCTCGTGCTCAATGAGCAGCGTAACAATACTATTTCAGCAACCGTGGCCACGCGAACACAACCGACGAACGGGCTCGGAAGAAACGAGAACCACCTCCCTGTCACTTCTCGTTGCTCGTTATCAACTTACGTACTCTGATTGCCTCTACTTTCGGTCATTCGGTTGATATTCTATTCGTGTTAAACTTACGACGAAGAACAATTCCCATTTATAGAGTTAACGTTTGTTGAGTTTGAAATTCAACGATCAAACGTTTATCCGTTGATTCTATTCACTTTTCGATTCTGTTAAAGTTCTCTATCTGTGGTTAAGCTCGGTCGCGAAACAGGAGAAACAGGATCAGTCGCGTTCCTCTCTCCAGAGGGTCCTTTCGACTCCGACGAAAACGCCGCAAAGCTTAAAGAGATAGGATTACTCGCGATTCGAAATTTATTTACACCGGCCTTAATCCCTATTATAGCCGCACGCGTAGCCCAAGGAAATGGCCGAGCAATTTCGGATTTGGACTGCCGAGAGATGATGGATCGCCGTTTCGTAGCCGGCGCTGATGATACCTCGCAGATGTAACCTCCGCACCCTTTTCGGCTGCGAGACCACTTGCCGGTGATTATCGATTAAACGCATGCACACCGCCTCGCCTTGCGTCTCTCGTTCGTCTCTCCACTTCCCTCTCGTCCTCTTCCTCCTGTAACTTCCTTCGTTGTACGAGCTTTCTTTTCACCTTCCTTTCGTTGCGTATACCATTCGTTCCGGATTCGTTCTCCCGACATCTGGCTCGCGCCAACCTTCTCTTCTCTCTCTGTCCTATGCGTCTAAAACTTGTCGATTCTTCCGTAATCTCACCTGAGGAAATTTCGAATTTCTCCGGTGAACCGTACTCTACGTACACTGTAGACGAGACAATGTGGCAAGTGTGTGTCTCGATCGAGATATCTGAAAAAGAGATTATTAAAAATGTATATTTCGCGTGTTTTACGTAACCAAGATGTAGATACCTGATTTACCGGTTGCTCGATTCTCGAGAAATCGTATGTGGAGAAAGATGTTCGATCGTGTTACAGACGCAGTTTTCAATTCCAACGATGTTACGCCGGCTGAAACTTGGATATCGTCCCTCGCACCCTGTAACGAGCAATCTCGATAGGATTAAAATGTTGTTTACCGGAACAGAAAGTCGGGAGTTTGGGTTTACTTGGCGCGGTCGACAGAGGCGCATCCTAGCGGCGCCCGGCTTCCTGGCTGAATACATACGTTTACAAGAACGCGTTGTTTTACTCTCCCCACCCCTTCAACTTCTCTCGTTACTTGCGAGTTACTTGAACGCTGCGGGCGGCCGGTCTCTATCGAAAGTTCCCGATAAAAATTAACATCGATATATACACACTGGTCCCGCGTGCGAGCCACCGCCACTCAAGCTTCGTAGTAAATATCGTAAGCGCGCGACAACTCCCGGAAATGTCGAACATATGTCGCCACTTCAGATTAATCCCGATGCTTTTACCATTAATCTAATCAGCATCGCGGAACGAGAAATACATTTAGCATATCGATCAAATCAAACCTGCTCTGTTAAACCTGCATTTCGGTCCGGCTCTTACAGAGATAAAAGCTGTCCCGTTACATCTGCCCATCGTTGAATAATTCTCCGTTTCGCGGTTCGAAAACGGCGCGAGCATCGTACTACACACGTATTGTGTTAATAAATGTCTTACGCCCCCCCTCAATCTCTCTCTCTCTCTCTCACTCTCGAGTGACATCTAGCTTGAGACGTTGAAAGTGGGACGGGGAGGTATTGCCAACTTTGTCGTGATAAAAAACGAACCTTCTTTTCTCCACTAACGAAAAAGTGGTCGTGGAGAGACATGAAACGAGTCCACCAAGGCTTCGTGAGAGTTTTGTTGCGAGGCTGAAAGTCAGACATGGGCAAGTTAGAACACGCCCGAGGAGGCGCAAGCTCCTTCGACTTTATAAATAATAAATTCGCGTGAAAACAGCCGGAGAGACAGAGAGGAAGAAGGACGGTAGATAGGATGGAGGAAAAGGAGGAAACTGGTGCGAAGGAGAAAACGTTAGATGTCGTTGGGGGGAGGGGGGAGTGTAGAGAATGGGGTACGAAGGCGAGGGAGGTCGGAGCGAGACAGAGAAAAAGAGAGAGACAGGGACAAGTGGTAATAAAGAGCAGGCAGTAAGAGCGACGAAGTGACGTCCTGTGTCGCGGAGTCATAAACTGGGCCCCAGGATCTCAGGCTTACACTCTTATTAAAACGTCGTCCTGCATATTGACGGTTATTGATCACCTTTCGCACACCTCGCTGCTTTTACGATACAAGGTCCATGTCACCTTGAAAACCACGGATACCGACATCGTTTCGAAAGACTTTGACGATATCCGTGTAGAAATGCACATTTAGTCATAGCCCCCCGATAACGTTTTATTTACGAAAATCTGTGGTTCGGAACGACGAACAAAATTGCGCAGTTTCATGCTGCGCATTACACAAGACATACAACGTCAAAGATAAAACCAGTGCGCATATTCTCTTTTTTCGTTCATCGTGATTATATTTCTAATTATTTTACCCCCTTTGTTGCGCAGGATTGTGGAGGAGAAATATTGTTGCAAATGGAATCAACTGAATCAAGTAGGTAGTACTGATACGTTTAACTTTAACGCAGTTTTTGAAACGTAGTAAACGTGGATTGACTTTTTTGGCGCGCTTTTTACTTCGTATATTCGACAATTGTGCAACTGGTTTATACTCTGTTCTATTTACTGCCGATATTACTTCCATGTTGGTATTATCACTGTCTATTTCACTTCAACAGTCACAGTTCTTGCAGTTGATAATGCAGGTGTATATCGGTAAAGTTGCATTTCACTGCAGCAACAAAAATTTAAAGGTGGCGTAGCTGACATGTTACGACGTAGTTGATGATTATATAGTTTTCATCGACTTTGTTGATAAGTAGATCCTGAACGAACGAAGCAGCCATTTTTTAGTGGAATCAGATAGAATCGTTACTTTAATCATTCTGACGTTTTAATTTTTGATCGTGTTTGATTTGTAGTTTGAAAGTAACATATGTTGAAATACGAAAATACCAATGAAAACGAAATAATCGTCGACAGTATTAAATCAGAGTTTGATCGCCGTCTTAATTAGGTAAGACAAATTTTCTTCGACGTCTTTAATGCTCGTAAACAAAACAATTGATTTAAAAGGGAAGTGGCGTACTTTTTCCATATTTCTTTACTGATCCATGATCAAGTAATAAATATTTCGACGATGACAGTAGTGTTCTTTGTGATAAGAATCACGGCCTGATAATGGGTAATGCGGGGAGCAATCAACCGGTTGGACATCATCATAGCACCCACTCGAGCAGAGAACATCGTCATACCAAGGAATACCCTCCACCTTCACCAGGAAAGGAAGGCCAAGCCTTCGTTTTTGATAAAAAGCCAAGCCAAAAATTAGTTTTCCAATCTTCCAATGAGGAAGAGGAGCCTTATTTTGCCAAGGTGTTATTCTTACTATTTCATTAGAAGGAAATAAATGATTAGAAAGAACTAATGATTTTACCCAAGGAATTCTTTATTTTTTTTATCAATAGACTCATGGTCATCAAGATGGAGAAGAGTTTAGTTCTCAACGTCCACGTTCCAATACAGTGTCTGAAGGAACCAAAGTAGCAGATAGCAAAGTGCTACCAACAGTTTTTAAATGGGAGGGAGGTGGTAAACAGGTTTATATTAGTGGAACTTTTACTGGATGGAAGACATTGCCAATGGTTAAGAGTCATGGTGATTTTGTAACAATCATTGATTTGCCAGAGGGAGAACATCAATATAAGTTTTTTGTTGATGGTGAATGGAGACATGACCCAGACATAGTGAGAAATTATTTTATTGATACAGAATGGTATTCTAACAACAATTGATTTCTTTATGCTTCCATTGAAATATACTTTTTTCTAGAAAATTGTTGATAATGGTATGGGTTCTAAAAATAATTTAGTGTCTGTAAGAAAATCTGACTTTGAAGTTTTCCAAGCACTTGCAAAGGATAGTGAAGGTGTTATTAGTAGTGCTCAGACAGAATATGGGCAAGATATTCCTCCTCACAAGCCTTGGGAAAAAGTAGCTGGACCACCAATATTGCCCCCACATTTGCTTCAAGTTATCCTCAATAAAGATACTCCTTTGTCTGTAAGTATAGTATATACCAAAAATAGACAGAGCATTTTTTTAATTATAACAATTCAGTAATACCACTTGTACCAATGCCAATTTCAGTGTGAACCAACACTTCTACCAGAACCAAATCACGTTATGTTAAATCATTTATATGCCTTAAGTATTAAAGATAGCGTAATGGTTTTGTCAGCCACGCATCGTTACCGCAAAAAATATGTGACGACTTTGTTGTACAAACCAATTTAAAGTTCTTAAATCATTCCCAAAGTTGTCGGCAATCGTTAGTTACATCGAATCAAGGCATATTTTGTAGGTAAGATAAACTATCGACGTTTAAAAAGAAATATTTGAAAACTTATATAGCATAAACTATTTGTTGTATTTGAAATGTAAAATAATGTAATTATTATTTATTAAAATGAAATATTTTACATTAGACGCCTTCCAATAGTGAGTTACTTTCATTATACATTCATTTTATTCTGTAACACGATTTGCTTCTTATGGATCTTAAAACATTAAATGCTTTCTTTAAATCATGTTATCAGTTGACGGTGTTTCTTCGGCATACGGTGGTTCAGATCGCGTCATCAGAAAATAACTTCCAGTAGCCCTTTTATCCACGTGTTCTCCCATCAGTGTAGTTTTGGCATTCTTGCAGTTGCCTAGTACATAATTATCCCATGTGTTGCATTTGCTCGCTACAAATCCAGTTTTAGAGCCAATACTTTCCGTCAAATATACATATGATCGACCGTGGCTACACGCTTCTGCAAAAACACAAATATATGCGAGTAAACCTGTTGATAAATGACGTAAAAGGTATATTACCTATTAATTCTGCAATACAACAGCAACCAGGTTGAACAGGTACTCCCCCATTTGGGTAAAAATCTACACTACCTAAAGGCTGCAAAAAGCCTACCACTCCACCACAAGAATGGATAATATCGACAAACAATGCGTCTGTACTATCTAATTTAGTTTTGTTGGATGCGAGTAAATGAAATCCGGGCGAAGCAGGATCTAAGCCAGTTATTCTTCCTAAGCGACCGGAAGTTATCGAACTTCCGGTGTTTCCAGCTACATGTGCTCCAAGCGAATGCCCTTAGTAATATAATAATTAAGATAATAGAGTAAATTCAGAATAATTGCATCTTTAATTCACTCTAATAATGCATACCAAGAAAATGGACATCTTTGGGTTTCAGACCTGTTTCTCTAACTAAGAAATCTATAAATTGAGCAACTGTTTCTCCTACGTTTTTTGTGTTGTGCATTGGTCCAAGATAGAACGTGCTTGCAGCCAAAGGTTGCCAATCAACCATAATGACATTATAGTCATAATACTTTAAGTATTCTATAGAATTATAACAAATTGTGAAACATACAGTTTCGTTGATATAATATATTCAAATATCGTTGTTGAGATTTAGTACCGTCTTTCATTTTGACTAGGCCGGAACTCATTGCGCTCGATTTCCATCCGTGTGTTATAAATTTAGTTAGCCTCGATCGTTTGAAATTTGAGTTAAGGAGTCCTTGTCTATCATTCCTATACAACTGAGTTCCATTTTCTGGGCCAGATCTTCAAATATGTTTAGATTTTAAAAAGAAGTGTAAAGTATATTTTTGTGACTGTATACATTGTAAATTATTGTATACCGAGTATAAAGGAGGAAGGAGACTTGTGATTCATCGAAAATCCCACGTTCATCATTTGCTTCTTTTAGCACCGCTACTTGCGGTTGATCATTTCCATCAGGCATGAAAATCCAGTCTTCTCCGTACCCGTCGTATTTTTCTTTTAAACCACTCTCCCATGTTTGACAATACGCAAAATTACATAAAATAACGATCACTATAGCAAAATACACCGATAAATTTATTCTACCCATTCTTCCACTTACAAGGATCACCGCATATAACGTTCGAAATAATACTACAATTATTGTAAAAAACTCTAAGAATGCGCAAGTGAAAATTTCGTATCACTTGTGTTAATTGGATGGCGAGAACGTCGGGGTAGAACCTTCTTATAAACCCTCACAATATCCTACCAAACATGAACAAACTCCACGTGACCCCGTTTCATTTGTTTATCTTTAGTCTGGTATCGTATATGCGGAAATACTGTTAAGTAGTTTTTTAAACTACTACAAGAACGTTTTAAATTTGTAATTAGACTCAAAATTGTGCAGGCTTTCGCCCAATTAAGCGTTTGATATGCTAGGCACTTACGTATCGTGTTGACGTCGAAATCACGCGTACACTGTATTAAACAAGTTTGTCGTTCTGCACACTGATAATTATCTTTCAGTTGTTTTGTTAATCGTTTAGGAAGCAATTCATTTCTTAAACCACATGGAAAATCGTACATTTCTTCAGAAGGAAATAATAAATTGTGTGATAACATAAAACAAATATATACGAACATAAAATATATTATCATACATTGTTATGATTGGTATCATACATTTTTTCACAATTAAGTTACAAACGTTGACTTTTCTTTATACTACATTTAGCAATTTAATGTACACCACATACGTTTAAATTTAATGATATAATTTTAATCAATTGTCATGTTTGTATTATTATACACTCGAATCAACTTTATGAATTTCAACCGTACGTGATAATCAAAAATACGGTCGATATTTCATTGTACCAAGTTTCTTCTTTCACTAAAAGAAAAATGCACACCAAGATTGCATAGTCTCATATTCTCATAAAAATACTGTTCGTTATATGTAGTATCGAATCTAAAGTTATTTACCGTTTGGTATCGTAGTTTTTCCGAATTCTCCGTCGCCGAAACAACCTACTAATGGTACCTCTGGAAACAAGTTTTTAAAAGTAGATGATTCTACATTGTCTTCACGGAACATTCTTTTCCCGCGCTCACGGCACGCGAACATAAACCCCATGGAATGTTTTCTTAAAGAAACATTATTCCTAAATGATTTTAATCTCTCTTCAACAGCTTTCTTGGTCCTATAACATCCATCAATGACTACAGACCATGAATCAACTAAGCCAACTAATGTAATTGCAACACAAGTTGCAGGTTGTACACATCTATTGTCTCCGGGGTCCTTTGAATTGCATATACGCAAATCACTGACCACTCCACCCCATATAGAAGCTTTCTCGTGACTAAATGTGAAGATAACATTACATATGTATGACACTCTATATAATATTGGAATCTATGAAATTTTGAATTTTACCTTATTTGCAATAGTGTTGCAACTGCCCTGGCTATACGACGACCTGTGTTATTACAAAATAGTAACAGACATTTATGACTATTACTTGCACGTGTATTCAAAGCTGTGTTAATCTGGTGAGTATATTGTGCAGCAGCTTGTGTACGAAAAACACCGACAAATGTGAATGTTTTAATTGTTACATTAGGTATGTCAGGTAAAAATGTACACACTACATCTGTCAAATGATTTTCAAATTCTCTGTCATTGATAATTACACCCTCTGTCCCCATTGTTATAACATCACAGTTTGCTGGGAGAACTTTACAATGGCAATCTTGACACAAAAGTGAAGTGTGATTATTAGATGAAGGATAAAAAAAAAAAAGTAGAAATATAATAAAAGAATAAATACGTTTTTTATCAAATTGTCTCCATGGAGGTCCAAAAAGTAATCCTAATGTTGGTTTAATCAGTAATTTATTAATAAGCTGAATCCTAAAATAGTCAGCATTTCTGCTATCCTGAAGAAAATACAGAATAGAACCCCTTGCAATTCGTTTTTCATCATTTGCCACTTCTAACCAGGATCTAGAATGTAAAACGCTTGTTTTAATGCATTTTACGGAACTTTTACGAAAACGAGCCATGGAATCTCAATATCTGCACAATCTTCCTAAAAAGAGTCTACTTTTCCAAGTTTTTTTCTTTACTCCGAATAAGTAGACCTTTCGTGAAACAATAATAAAATGAAAATATTAAACGTTCTCGCACCTGCAAACCATTGAAGCATTCGATAGGTCCACTCCATTTAAATATTTAAATATAATCCTTAAAACATCATAGGTTAAGTACCGATCAGTACGAATTATATTCCTTTCTTCGACGTTCGGTGTAGTATGATTATTTTCACGAACTCTTTTGTCTGGTATATCCTCCATTTACTTAACTGTGTAACTTAATAAAATCACTGTATTTTTCGTACAAAATGTATCACATAGATCAAGTAAATCACTGTCTCTGTATTTACTGTTGCGTCGGTCTACTTATGTCAAGAACAAGTAGAATAAACAGACTACTACACTAAATGCCCTTTCTACCTTTTATCGATACTTTGACCACTTTTCAAAGATAAATTTATACTATATATTATAATAAACAATAACAACAACAACGATGACAGATCGCTGCCTTGAAAAATTTACTCCTTTTTAGAAAACCTTGAGTTTTTACAACGCTGTCATAGAAACTCTACCAAAGACATCGATGGACTTTCACGGAAAAAAGAAATAATGTGCATGTAATGGTGAATGCTACAGCATCATATCTAAATGATGATCTTACGTTGACGTTTATACATAATTCGAATGAAAATATATATTCTAGTTAAACGCTCGGTTTAACTAAGATCTAATGGAAATCGAAAATAAAACGACAATTTCATTAAATGATAACGGCAATGTTTGCCGCGTTTGCCTTACAACGAATCAAAATAACCAATGCATTTTTGGTGCTAAACGAAGTAATTTGGATAATAGAGATGTGACTGATTTGCCTGAGAAACTTCGTTTATGCGGCGGTGTGGAGGTCAGTTTAATTTTTAAACTTTTCTTCTTTAATGTTTTTTTGTTATTTCTTTGTTAACATGACTTTTTGATCAGATATTGGAGGATGATGGCTTACCTTCCACTATTTGTATGAAATGCATATTAAAGATCAATGATGCTCATCAATTACGAAAGCAATGCCAGCAGTCTGATACCCGATTAAGAGAATTATATGGAAAAGTGGAAAAGATATATAGTATCAACTTGTGTAAGAATACAAGAGTAAGTAGTCACACATGTGTAAATGAAGAATATGATTACAAAATTGTGATCATTTCTTTTCCTTACCAGGACCAATATTGTCAGACTGATTATTCATTTGCCTCTGATTTAATCAAGATAGAAACTGGTACATTTTCTGCAATGGGTCATAATATATATCCAATGATAAATCTTAACTCCAACATCAAAGGAATGAAAGAACATGAAACAATTAATGTATGTAATCCTGTAGAAGAAGAAAAATCTAATAGTTTCTTAAATAAACAAAATGCTTATGTTAATTGCAAACAAGTAGGATATGAAACAAGTGTCACAGGAAGAGAAGCTTATAGAACAAGAAGAATGACAATGTTCAAAAGAGTAACATCTATAGAAAATTTAAAAAATCATAAAGAAAGGCAAAGGCAGTACATAAAAAAAAATACAAATGTTAAGTGGGATGATGATCCAGCAAACATTAATGAAACTGATTCTCAAACTGCTTATATTTGTCCAAAATGTACTAGATGTTATTCCAGCAAGAGGTCTTTGGATAGGCATGTAGTAACTCATGATGAAAAAAAATTCACATGTGATAAATGTAACAAACACTTTTTTCAACTTGATAAATTAGTACAGCATAGTAAATTGCACACAGTTAAAGAAAAACCTAAAACAGTATTATGTAGAATATGTGACAGGAATTTTAGGAAAACTGACACTATGGTAAGACATTTAAATGTTCATAAAAGAACTAATCCAAAGGAGGTTCTCTCCATTTTGAAAGAAATTAGAGATAAAAGAAAATTGGAAAATTTAACTGAACCTAAAGACAGGGTCACTGAAATTGAAAATAATAATGATAAAAAAGAAACAGGAGAAGAATTTGCAAGTAGTAGAAGTACCACCTTAGATATTCTAAAAAAAGATACATTAGAATCTAAAGATAAAGTACTTGGCCCTAATATCTCAACTTCAGATGTTAGTACTAAAAAAATTAATTCTTCCGATGAGACGCTTTTTCGATGTAAATATTGTACCAAACGTTATGCAAATGAAAAGTCACTTCAAAAACATTTACAGATTCATGTTGAAAAAAAATTTGTTTGCAACGTATGTAATATGAAATTTTTCCGTCAAGATAGATTACAAAGTCACAAACATCGATATGGGCACGATGAAGATTCAGCATCGTTAGAAGTACAAAAACCATCCGACGATAAATCGGCAATTAAATTAATAAATAGTTGGATTAGGGAAGAACTTGATTCAGATAATGAAGAAAAGGGCTTTCCTTGTAAAATCTGTGGAAAATCATACGATACTAAGAAATCCTTATTAAAACATCAATTAAGTATGCACAACTCCGAGAAAGAAGACTGTGCGACCTGTGGTAAAATCTGTATTTGCGATGACAAGGACAAAGATCAACAGAAATCAAATGAAAGATTAAAACCGTACCGATGCGACGAATGTAATAAATCTTTCGAGAAGGAAGTTAAGCTGCAGAAACATATAAGAGTCCACGAGCGCGCTAAAGAAGAACAAGATGTAAATTTTAAGCGATTTTTATGTCACATATGTAGCAAGACCTTTCGGCAAAATACAGGTCTCATGTTTCATATGAGGACCCATACCGGTTATAAGCCTCACGTTTGTAAATATTGTGGACGGGGATTCACGTCGAATTCTAATTGTATCAATCATGAAAGAACTCATACCGGTGATAGGCCATTCGTTTGTCATTTTTGTAGCGCTGCATTTGCCAAATCATGCACTCTTAAAGCACACATTACAACGCACACTGGAGAAGCGAATTATCATTGCAAAACTTGCGGGAAATCATTCAGAAGATTGAAGTACTTAAAGGAGCACAAGTTCACACATACAGGGGAAAAGCCATATGCTTGTAAAATCTGTGGTACGGCGTACAGCCATTCGGGTAGTTTATTCGTACATGAAAAAAAATGTAAGGCACAGTATAATAGCTATCAATCTAACACTACACAAAATACGCAAACCTATTGTGAATCTGAAACGTCTTCGCCAAGTGTAACTCCTATTATTACGGTTTTACCGCCAGTTCACCTGAATAATTCTAATGTGATGAGCACACAAAGTAACAAAACCTACATCGACAATATTCAGAGAATAAGTTCTCAGAATATTAGTAATCTAAATACTGTTAATACGTCGGATCTTCATATTCATCCGAATTCGGATATTTCTGATGTTTCTTTAGCTGTTAAAAGCTTCGCTCTCATCGGACAAATGTTTCAATCATAGATCGATCTAACAAAATAATTGAATTTCGAATTAAAATGCTTCTGTGATAAATTTTTATTTCGTGGACATGTTTCGGTTATTAAAACGTACGGAATATATTTCGTATTAATAAAAAAAAGTAAATATGTGAAACGTTTTTTATTGCATTTTCAATTATTATTACGAGTTGCGTATCTTACACACTGTAAAATATTGGAAAGTGAGTCTATTTTATGGCGTTATTTTTTTGTTTAATTCGTATAATGTGAAATTTTGTTATACATAGGATTCCCCAATCAGGGTAAAAGGTAGGTTACTAAATAAAAAGACGAAAAACAATCCCTTTCCTGTTAGGTTATTTTTTTATTGCATTATATATCACATCTGGTTTCGTTACTTTTAACAGTTCAATACACTAATGTATTTTGAATATTGATATTTAATTATCGATTTTCTTGTAAAGCAACCTTAAAGTATACTCGTTATTTCATTTTAAATATGGCAGATCAGAGTACACAGTCTTCTGTAAATATATGTAGTCCGCAGAGTACCATGAGGTTCTGCGAAGGTGGCAAAAAGTGTTATATTTTAAGATGTTTTGTGTGAACATTTACAATTTTATATTTATTTAAATACGGACAAATTATCCGAGTACCTTGTCTTCAGTTTTTTACGTATTGTAATGGAAAATTTTAAATGAATCTCATTTTTTAGAAGTAGTTTTATATTACCGCAAGGTACAATGAATATTCAATAGAGTAGTTAACATTTACACGTCAGATTTATACCAAACTTCTTGGGTTTAATTTACTTCTTTACGTGACAGATCTTAATCTACATAATTCTATAAATTCATCGTTTCCGCAATTGTGTATTCGGTACTAGCTGACATAATTATTGAATAAAATGTTATTCTTTCGATGAACATTGAATGATGCATGTAGTAATTATGTGGTCAGAAATTATAGAATATTTGAAAGATGCATTTTTAGTTGCGAGAATACAAAAATGTTTCGGTGTTAAAATACATTATGGACAAAATTTGAAAGAACATTGCGAAGACAATTTGTGTACGGATGTGCGCGATACCAAATCTCAAAATATCGAATACAGTTCGAATAGTTGTCTATTAAAATCTGAAGAATCAAAGGGAAATAGTTATGTTAAATCGGAAAAGAAATTTATCGGTGTGGCAGAAACGAATGCGTGTATGTTAAATGAGAAACAACATTCACCGACCGTCATTATTTCGAATTATACCATAACAAATTACTTTTGGTATTACTTATTTTTATTTGGGACTGAACTAGGAGATGAAATATTTTATTGTACATTTATACCTTTCTGGCTTTGGAATATTGATGGTGTTGTAGGTAGAAGAGTTGTTTTAGTATGGGCTATTATTATGACAACAGGTAAATTATTATTTAATAGAATCTGATAAAGTTTATTCTCAAGATTCATATTTACATAGGTCAAATATTGAAAGATGTTATATGCTGGCCAAGACCAGCATGTCCACCAGCAGTTCGATTGCAAATGAAATGGTCGGAAGAATACGGAATGCCATCTACTCATGCTATGATTGGTATATCAATTCCATTCAGTGTAGTATTATTTACAATGAATAGATATATTTATCCTGTTTCTATTGGCTGGACAATTGCTATTATGTGGTAAGTTGTTATGTTATTCTTTAACACGGGCTTAATAAAATTAACAAAGGATTTAAAAATATAACTGTCATTATTTATTTGAAAGGTGCACACTTGTGTGTATGAGTAGACTTTACTTGGGTATGCACACAGTGTTGGACATCCTAGCAGGCTTAATACTAGCCATTTTACTATTGATTCCATTAATACCTTTAGTGGATATCACAGATTATTATATCCTTTCAAATATCTGGGCTTTAACAATTTTAATTGCCATTAGTATAGGTGTCATAGTTTATTATCCCTGTGGTAAAAAATGGACACCAACCAGGTAATATATAGGATGATTCCATATTTTAAAAATATATATTAATATGATTGTAATTGATTTTTTTTTTTTATTGTAGGGGTGACACTACCATGGTGGTATCTGTTACCACTGGGGTTCATTTAGGAGCATGGCTTAATTACAATACTGGAGTTATGTTAGCTCCTACAAAGTCACCACCATATCACATCATTTGGCCATCTTATTCTATGCTTAGTTGCCTGATACTTAGAACATTATTTGGATTTTGCAGCATTCTTGCAACAAGAGTTATTTGCAAATTCCTTAGTTATCAAACAATGTGTGCCATATTGAAGATTAATTCCAAGGTCCTTATGAAAAGTCAAAATTATTCAGAAAATAAAGATAAGGTTCTTGTTGATCTAGTCCACAAGTATATAACTTGTTTTATGATAGGTGTAAATACAGTATATTTCTTGCCAAAAGTGTTTACTATATTTGGAATTAATCGACCGACATTTTACACGGAAATATAGAACATTCTTTGTTTTATTGAAAGGGCACACTTCTTAACCTTATGCATTTAATTTTGGTGAGTGTGTCAAAGTAAGGCTATTGTTACTGTACAAATCATTCCAATACAGTGTTTGTGATATTGTTTTTATATACATAAATTAGTGATTTCTATACATTATTATTAAAATGTACCGGTGATGTATTATATACTATTTCACATATCAAAAAAGCACAAATTTTGTTGGATACTTGTTAAGTGTTCTATTTAAACTTGTATTTATCTGCATATAAGTTTCTATAAATTTTACATTTAACTGAAATTACACTGTTTATGTGTATTAAAATTCTATTTTTGTTGGAAAAAATAAGTTGACATAGTAAATAATACGTATATAGTAAAATAAATTTTATATTTTAGCTCTTTTGAAATATAAGTGAATGTTACAATGTTTTTGTTACAATAAAATAATTAAATTAATTTGTTTGAATATTATCTAAAGCACTCTCTATGGGCATATCTAACCTTAATACCTGTAAGAAATAGAAATAAAATATTGTCATTGTAATGAAGTGTAAGTAAGAAAATATAGTTTATAATTATTTCACCTTACCCCAAGATCTTTATCTAGGAAACATTTTGCATGTGCCACATTTATGGTATATGGAATTGATAGATCATATGTGAGACCAGTTTTCTCAACAGTGACTACAATACGATCTTGATCAAGGAATACTTCTACCTCCTTTTTAGTAATCTATTTAAAATAAGATCACATGTATTTAATTGTTACTGTTTAAAAATAAAGATTTATCTTACTCCTTTAGATATTTCAAATAAACCAATCAAATGTGTAGGTGGTCCTTCCAAAGGTTGTTTCAATAGAACATAATTCCTTTCTGAATTACTAACAATTTCTGATGAAATAATTTTTGACTGATTAACTTTATCCTTTTTTTCATTAATATCTGTAGTAGAATTGATCTCTTCAATCAATGGTTTTTGAGTTTGTAAATGAATTCGTGGTTCACGATTTTTAATTATATGTTGATGTAATTTTCCCATAACCTGATACATAGAAAATTTAAATTTGAGATTAATTTAACTTCATCTTTGTTCAATTAACAAATAGACATTTGGAAAAATAAAAACCTTGCGATTTTTAAGAATTGCATAATCTTGTGTGTTGAAAGATATATTAAATTTATCTAATACACCCTCCATCACAACTGATATTGTAAAGAATAAAAAAATTTGTTTCCTTTGACATTTCTCAAAATATGTTGTATTAATTGCAATATCGTAAGTCTTGCAGGGATATCCACCTATAATGTTACATGTCCCATAATTTGTCTCTTTTATTGCAATTTTGTTGATAAGATTTAAATACCTCTATCAGATTCAAGTCTTTCACTTCCAATACTCATAGGTATTACAAATTGTGGATTTTCTTCTGATAATATCTCAAAAAGTTTTGCATCAGATATGTCATCAGGTTGTGGCATTTTATCTGATACACATATGTTTAGAAATATTTTTTCTCCAGCATCAGTCTTTGTTTTTATGCATATACCTAAAATATTATACAATTAGAAACCATACATTTAATACAGTTTATTAATTTACGAATATTGACATAAATTACCAGGTGTAGGTTGAATGACAAGGAAAGGCTTTGAATCAGATTGTTTTATTAAATTATCATCCCTGGATGCATTTTCCTAGAAAAATTATATATCTGAATGTAATAATTATGTAATGTAATAATTATGTTCGTTAAATCATAATGTTCACATAATTATATTCACTTACTGGTAATATTAGGTTCTTTGTTAGTATTGTGTCATCAATATCCAAAAATGTTCGGTTATTCATGATGAAACAATATTTTGATTCATTTACAACGTAGTAACTATTTATTGTTTAAAAATAAACTATTTTTATAGAAGTTTTGTTTGGTTCGTTTTGCGTATAACTGCACATTGCGCATGCCCATAAATGTACGTGAACGTTATAGTAGTAGATGAATCGCTATACAGTAAAAGTTGGGAAATTTAGCAAGATACATGAAGTACTTAGTACAGTTGAATCTATTTTATAACATTGCAATTTCAACTTTCTATACTTTATTCTATCCTAACTTTCAGTTAATTTTATTACTAAAAGTAATTATTGTCCAGTAAAGCAAACTTGAAGGTTCTAACGACATCGATAGTCGAAATAAGCGGAAAATTGGCGGGAAGACCATCGCCACGCCATTGCTCTTTGGTCTTACCACAGACGACGTATTTACACGATAGACCTAACATTTCATGACATTTTATGTCTACGGCACGCAGGCCGAGAAGACCCTTACTATTTACGTTTATTTAATTTAGCTTAGGATAAAATTACAATATTATTGGTTGGAATTAGAATGAAACATAATTATGAAATTGCAAATAAGAAAGTAACGTAATTGTTTATTAGTAGATTCATCATATGCGCACGTTTTACTGCTGTCAAAATATCTTTAGTCGTATTTATCACGGGTATTTCGCAATAAAGAAATGAGTAAGACAAGGAAAGGAATACGGGTAGACAAAGATAGCACTAGAGAAATGTGTTAAACAAGGAAAGATATAGGGTTAGACAAGGACAGAAAATTTGAAAATTGAAACTATCGCCATCTAGCGTTTGGTGATCGGAACTACGACTTTTTAATAGCAGCACAGGATATAAACAGAGGTATTAGACAAGGAAAGCACTAGTGTGCGAGAAGGACAGAGAGAGAACGTTTCTTATTGGCTGGCGGGCCGCCATACTCCGCCTCCTACGCGCTGTATCTAACCGGTCAGGGAAAAATCAATAATAACTCGTTAATTAGGATGATTCTGTGAACTTTTAGCATTGAAGAATGTAGTGTGGACCTTTAGCTACTTTCACATATAGTTTTCAATGCAATAGACCGTTTCAATAATTAGTTATTAACAATTTTAGTATGCGAGGTCGAAACCATACGGTTTACGTTTATATACGTTTACGGTTTTTCAATAATTTCATAGCTTTCCAATGAATTCCCATGCAAGTAGCTACATGCATCTAAAAGGTAACTCTCTGAGCTACATTCTCATATAATTTTTATTAAGATATTCGGTTTAGTTTAAGAGTTATTAAACATTATATGTGAGAGTCCCCTATTCGTCATACACGGGTATAGTCAACTCTTATAAACAATTGCTAATAACTAATAAACCGCACCACTTATGCAATTAAAACTATTGCAGAATGTAGACAATGGTCCATACTATATTCTGCATGCTTGAAAGTGCATAATTAATCATGCATATTCGTGAAAATGATGAAAAATCCGTACTCTTGAATGTGACGAGAGTAGACTCACTCAAATACTGTTTAATATCTCGAAAACTATGCCGGATATGTTAATAAAAATTATATGAGAATGTAGCTCAGAGAGTTACCTTTTAGATGCATGTAGATACTTGCATGGGAATTCATTAGAAAGCTATGAAATTATTGAAAAACCGTAAACGTATATAAACGTAAACCGTATGGTTTCGACCTCGCATACTAAAATTGTTAATAACTAATTATTGAGAGGGTTTAGCGCACTAAAAACTCTACAAGAAAGTTGCTGAAGGTCCACACTTCATTCTTCAATTCTAAAAGTTCACAATATAATTGTAATAATCGAGTTATTAATGATTTTTCACCGACCTAATTGATTCGGTCCCCGGGAGGTGAAGCGTAGCGGCCCGCCAGCCAATAGGAAACGTTCTCTCTCCATCCTTGGCTACATTCTTCAATGCTAAAAGTTCATAGAGTCATCCTAATTAACGAGTTATTAATGAAAAACCGTAAACGTATATAAACGTAAACGGTATCATTCCCGACATCCCGTACTATGATTGTTAATAACTAATTAATGGAGGGGTCCATTGCATTAAGAATTATATGTGAAAGTAGCTAAGGGTCCACACTACATTCTTCAATGCTAAAAGTTCATAGAATCATCCTAATTAACGAGTCATTAATGAAAAACCGTAAACGTATATAAACGTAAACGGTATCATTCCCGACATCCCGTACTATGATTGTTAATAACTAATTAATGGAGGGGTCCATTGCATTAAGAATTATATGTGAAAGTAGCTAAGGGTTCACGCTACGTTCTTAAATCCTAAAAGTTCACAGAATCATCGTAATTATGGAGTTATTAATGAAAATGACGGAAAAGAGTTACGTTGAAACGCGACGAGTGTAGTATTTATCCAAATAATGTTTAATATCTTGCAAATTACAACGGATATGTTAATAAAAATTATATGAGAATGTAGCTCAGAGAGTCACCTTTTAGATGCATGTAGTTACTTGCATGGGAATTCATTAGAAAACTATGAAATTATTGAAAAACCGTAAACGTACATAAACGTAAACAGTAACGTTTCCGACATCACGTACTAAAATTGTTAATAACTAATTATTGAAACGGTCTATTGCATTAAAAACTATATGTGAAAGTAGCTAAAGGTCCATACTACATTCTTCAATGCTAAAAGTTCAGAGAATCATCCTAATTAACGAGTTATTAATGATTGTTCCCTGACCGGTTAGATACAGCGCGTAGGAGGCGGAGTATGGCGGCCCGCCAGCCAATAGGAAACGTTCTCTCCCTGTCCTTCTCGCACACTAGTGCTTTCCTTGTCTAATACCTCTGTTTGTATCCTGTGCTCCTATTAAAAAGTCGTAGTTCCGATCACCAAACGCTAGATGGCGATAGTTTCAATTTTCAAATTTTCTGTCCTTGTCTAACCCTATATCTTTCCTTGTCTAACACATTGCTCTAGTGCTATCCTTGTCTACCCGTATTTCTTTCCTTGTCTTACTCATTTCTTTATTGCGAAATACCCGTGATAAGTACGACTAAAGATATTTTGACAGCTGTAAAACATGCGCATACGATCAATCTACTAATAAACAATTACATTACTTTCTTATTTGTAATTTCATAATTATGTTTAATTCTAATTCCAACTACTAATATTGTATTTTTATTCTATGCTGAATTAAGTAAACGTAAATAGTAAGGGTCTTCTCGGTCCCAAAGTCCTGGACAAAAAGTCGCATGTGATATGAGGTCTATCGTATACATCGTTTGTGACTAAACATTATTCAGTCGCCTTGCCTAAACTGTTTACATTATAGGTTCAAGTTTGTTTCGCCGAACGATAAGGTGAAAGTTTTATTAATCTTTTAAATTCTATAAATTAGAAAAATGGCAAAGAGCATACACGCGTTAGACGGATTTACTCTTAGGTACGTAAAAATAAATTAAACTTGTAATAACTTAAGCTTTTTCATATTGAAGATCTTTATTAAAATATTTTAGTGATTTAACATATAAGGATGGACTTATACTTGAAATTGGTAATGAACATAAATTCACTCGCGATGAAGAATTTCCATATTCAACGGATATACCATTGACGAACGAAGAGGCATTAAATCTTTTAAATATGAATGATTTTCAAGATGAAGATGATACCAATAATGATAATGATGATGATAAAGATAAATTAATTACCGTTTGTGGTATTAGCTTTGAAAAATTAAAAACTAAAATGACTGATGTCCTTGGAGATGGAAAAGTAAATTACACTTCTTAATATTGAAAATAATATAATTTGTAAATAATGAAATTAATAAAACAGAATGGTATTGGGGAGATTATACCACATGATGCACAGGTTTCTATCAAATACATTGGACACTTTGAATACAGAGATGAACCATTTGATTCTAGCTTTACTCGTGGAGGTGTAGAAACTTTTTGTCTCAATGTAGGCAGATTAATACCAGGTTTAGAGATTGCTTTAACAACAATGAGAAGACACGAAATAGCTATGTTCATTGTACACCCTGATTTGGCATATGGAAAATTTGGTTGTGCTCCTCGTATCCCTCCAAATGAACAAATCTTATTTGTTGTACACTTGGTTGATTATGTGGATAGTGGGTCTATTGCAAGTTTTGAAAACTTATCTTCAGAGGAGAAGAAAATGTTTTCAAATGTTGTCAAGCGTGTACAAGCTAAGTTTAACGTTGCCAAAGACTGCTTTAACAAACATAAAAATAAGCAAGCTATACGAGAGTAAGTCTTTTTGTAATGGAATATATGCATACTAATATTATAATTATTGTTTTACTTCTTTAGGTATTCAAGAGCACTTGAGTGGTTGGAACATGCACAACTACAAAATCAAGAAGAGGAGGATGAAGCAAACAGATTGCTTTCAAGAGGTTATAACAATCTTGCAGTTTGTTACAATATAGAGAATATGCCGCGACGTGCATGTAATGCGTGCAACAGAGTGGCTATACCAACAGTTAAAACACATTTCAAGTATGCAGCATTAAACATGTTTAAGTTTGAGAAAATATCTATATGAAAGTGCATTTTATATTATGCTTTGCAGTCGTGGACGAGCATTGTTGCGAATGGGAGAGTATACTAGTGCAATGAAAGAATTGCAGATTGCTCACAAGATGGAACCTCAAAATGACCAGATTATTAGGGAAATTAGACTTGTAAGTAATTAAGAAGGTCAAAGAATATATGTTACTTTTACAAATATTTTATTCTACTCATCATCTTTAGGCAAATGAAAAACAAAGAAAGTTCTTGGACATAGAGAAACAGCTGTGGGGAAATTGCTTAAAAATTGATGTAAAAGAAAAGAAGGAATCTTCTTTTGAAAAAGCAGCACGCGAGATGTGTGAAGCTTTCTCCAGTGATGACCACATATTAAGACAACCGCTTCCCGAATCGTTAACACCTGATGAAGATAAATATATACGCGAACAAGCTGCTGCTTTTGGTCTCACAGTTACAGCACATGAGAGATACGGTAGACAAATAACGTATCTCAACAAGCCTAGTTATTGAAATATTATTTAAAAATGCATTCCTTAAATTAAAATCTTGGGATCACTTTTACGATGTTTTATTAGCGACATATAGAAAGTTCCTTTCATATTTGTTTTTTTTTTTTTTTTTAACTTTATCATATGAATAGCAGCAGAGTAAAAGAGATATCAAATAAGATGTATACAGATTTCATTCGTGAGATAATAGCAAATCTACTGTGTTTATACATGTCAGCAAAGTATATATAAAGTTATTTAGAGGTTTCTATTATTCATGGACGAATCTTCTGGAAGAGGTTTCTCGACTTCGTCTCCAAATCGTACCCTGTATTTACGTCTTACAAGATCCCATTCGACGACATTTTCAATTCTCATTGAATGTTTCAAAGATAATTGACTTTCCATCGGACTTGATCGAAGTAACGGGGAATTAATGGCGTCGCGCTGCTGCGATAATATTCCGTTGTCCTACACGAAAAGAAAACTTTCTTTATATTTTTTTTTTCTATATCTTGTTATCGATTTGTTACATACCTGAATAAATGGATGTCTTGTGAATAGACGCATTACACCCGTCTTACGTTTGTTGCTTCGAGTATTACATGTTTTCCCAATATACGGAATCCAGGATGTAACGAGATTCAACGGCGAAGGTGCAGTTCGTGTTCTTAAAAAAGCAGGTGTTCCGATTTTCAATACTACTAGTAGAATGTTCTATCGTGTATGACTTGTGGAAGCATTTCCCGTGTTGGTTCACAATGGAAAAAGCAGTTGGTTATGAGAGTTTAGCTATTTCTTTTTTTTTTTTTTCGCTGTTTACTTACTTTTGCATTTTACGAATAAGTTTGCTGAGTCCATACTTCCACTCGATATCGCTTTGTGACTGTATATTTTGATATGTGTCGCTCATCATCGCGATTAACAGATTGATCAGTACTATGACGCTAACCAACATGTACAGTGAGAAAGATACCTGCCAGAACACGAGATCGTTGATTGTGAATCGTCGATTTACATACGAATCATGCTCGTTCAAGTACTATCCGTTAATATTAGCCTGACCTTAAATAAATATATAGTCCATTTCGGTTGCATCTTTCGTTTTAACGATACCGTGAAGTCGTCGGTGTCCTTCTGGCCGAAAATAGCGAAGAAAAGATTTTCCGTAATATCGATGGGATTCACTTTCACTGAAAGAATGCAATCAAGCATCTAAAATTGTCGAACGTATCTACGAAGGAACGCAAGGATCGCCTTTTGTTGTGTCTTCGATTATCTGGTTCATTTTCTATGAATATGCACACTGATCGTTGCGCTCCGATCATTATACTGAATATATACATATATATGAGACACGAAACATGCGATGGAAATGAAAAAAAAAGGGGAAAGAAGAGAAATATCGAGGGAAGAAACATCGCGAGAATGATCGTGGATGAATTTCGAACGTATGCATGAATGTTCGCTTGTGATATCGATTACTAAACAACATCGATAATATCTCGTGCGCGTGATCCTGATCGATGAAGGCGTGTTACAATCGATTGGGCGCTAATCGAATGGCAGACGGTCGATGCACCGATTTCGCGATACAGTAATTGAATCTCGCATATACGCATTCGATTCTGTTCGATTGCAAGCGTCGTGATGATCGGTTAATAAGCATGCACGCATGCACTCATTAATGGTATTTCGTTAATTTAGTGGGCTTAGCTTATCGGTTTGTTGGTTCGTTATTTGTGATAATCAAGGAGCTAGGCAGGACGAGTGACTGTACATGTGTACCTTACATTCCTATACATTGTCGCTATACAGTGTCGTTTCTCCTGAAGTTTCCTCTAAAACATAATCGAAACGGTAATCGTATCGATAGCGTGATAGGTTGAAAAGGTCCACGAATAATAGTACAATCACACAAAATGATCCGGTCGATTTGGATGTTTATTTTGATAAGAAAGATCGTACTATATGAGACTACATGTCGGTATTCGAAAACAGCGATAAGGTCCGTTTCTTTTTAAAGTCAATTTACAGATCGCAAAAGAACGATCGGATTCAAGGAACAGAGGTAGGCGCAGTTTGATTTCCGGCGGGAACACCGGTCAACGAGCTTTCCAAAGCTGTCGGTAGAGGGTCGTGTTCCGTGGATTCTTTCGATTCCTCGGTGTGCTTTTCGATCTTTTCACCAAAAAGATCGCGATACTTTCGTCTGACCGCTTCCCAATCGACAACGTTATCGATTCTGATGGCGTTACTGAACGACAGTTGACTACCAAGAGGGCTCAAATGAACAATCGATAGGGCAATGCTGTCCTTGTGGGCCACCTGAGACTTTTTCACTTTGGACAACCACTTGGCGCCCATTCTGGAGCGCGGTGAAAGTGCATCGGGTCTTTGCAATCCCATCAAACGGACGAGGGATGGTCGTTGCTTTTTCGCAGCGCGTTTCTTGCAGAGTTTGTACAAGTATGCCATCCAGGTGGTAAGAAGATTCAGCGGAGATGGCGCTGTGCTTGTCCTGCGCATCGACAAACGTATCGATAATCAATTAAGAATTTATCCGTGACCGATCGAACCGAAGGTTTAGTACCGTACGAAGAACCGTGCCTCGTTCAAATTTCGCGGGCATGCAACGCACGTTTGTATCACGTCGAATATGTTACCGGGTTCGCTAATCTCAATTTCGATTCTCGATAGGGCACGGTATACAGGAGAAGAGAGAGGCCGTTTATTTTGAGGAACGATTAGAAATCCTTACCTGTGCATATTCCTAACCAGCTTACTCAATCCGTACTTCCACTCGATGTCGGACTGAGCCTGTATCCGTTGGTAAGTGTCGCTCATCATGGCGATTAGGAGATTAATCAGCACGACCACCGAAACCAGCATATAAATACCGAAGGTGAGCTTGAAGAGAACTTTGGTCCAATCGGGCTGCATTAATTCAACCTTGAATTGTTCGTGGGTCGTCTGACCGAAGATGGCGAAGAACAATAACTCAACGGCCAGTACGGGGCTCATCTTGACTGGAAATACGTGGGAACGATACGTCTCGTGAAAACTCTGTGTGCATCGCGGACGAGTTTACAAGTTGTTCTTCAAATATCTGTCTGCATGTAAACGTATACATGTTGCGTATGTATGTATGCGTGTAAGTACGTGCGCGTGTTTTGTCGTCCTCGAGAGTTTAAATCGAGGCACGGTGTCGCTATGGCTAAGACGCTAATAAAAGACGCAGAAGAACGCGTTGTTACTTCTACGATCTTAAATATATACGTACACATATAGCTTTTTTCTTATTTTTTTTTTATTTTTTTGCAGAGACATCACACGGCTACCCTGATCGAGCAACCATTTAGAAGACCTATCATGTAGAGGGGAACCAAGAGGAGCTGCACTACAACATGTAGTGCAGTCGAAAAATGACGGGGGATAGCCATGCTGGGTCAAAAAGTTTTTTATGTAGACGCACGGTGAAAACAGTCCTTACTTCTCTATAATCCTCGTGTTCGCGGCACTACTTACGTAAAAACTCCGAAACGATAGCAGCTCGATTACGTATCTCGCGTAAAAGATGGCCGACCTTCGAGAGACGTTACAAGTCCAACACTACGAGATGTTACCTAGAATGTATTCGATGCCGTAGTTGTTTTCGATGTTTCATGTTTAGCGCGAAGACGTATATTTGTAATGCGCGCGGCTTCGCGCTCGTTAACTTTTTTTGTCAAGTTCGCGACGATGGCGATCTGTGGAACTTCCGTGGATAGTTCCTCCGAGGCGAGGAAGAAGACCTTCTCTTCCTCTAGATAGGCGGCGTTGATGTCGAAGCTGGTACCGTGGACGCGTTCGAAGCGGTTGGCCCGTTTTCATCCTCATTCTCCTCGTCCTCGTTCTTCTCATCTTTCTCCGCTTCTTTTTCAGGCTCGTTCCCGGTCAGGGCTAAATATTTCTTACGTATCGAATCCCAATCGACCACACTTTCAATTCTGGTGGCGCTATTGAAGGACAATTGACTACCAAGGGGACTCAAATGTACCACCGATAACGTGACGCTGTCTTTCGGTCTAACTTGACCTTTCTTCACTTTCGCCAACCATTTTGCGCCCATCTTCGATCTTGGCGATAGACGACCGGCACGCTGAAGTCCCATCATGTGGACCAACGATGGACGCTTACGTTTCGCGGCGTGTTGCTTGCACACCTTGATGAAGTACACGATCCATGTAGTGAGCAAGTTTAGAGGCGACGGGGCGGTGGTAGTTCTGCAACACGGAATCGCGTGTCCAGCCTATCCCGCTGATTCGTTTTCACGAAGAGGAGAACTACGAGGAACGCGGTCACGAGACACGCGGCGCGAAGGCGGTTCTATTGCGCAAATACCGGCGGCAAAAGGCGTTTGGTTTATTTTTTAGTTTTTTTTTTTTTTTTGCTTTTGAGAATGAGAATCGCTTCCTTAAGGCGGCAGGGGAAGCGGGAATATAGGCGGATATTTGAAATGCGATTCGCCTCGTAAACGATACCCATTTTGCCGGCTTACCTGTGCATATTTCGGATCAGTTTACTGAGTCCGTATTTCCACTCAATGTCCGATTGCGCCTGTATCCTCTGGTAGGTGTCGCTCATCATGGCGATCAGTAGATTAATTAATACGACTACCGAGACCAACATGTATACACCGAAGGCCAACTTGAACAGGACCGAGGTCCACTGTGGCTGATTAGTCTCGACCTTCAGCTCGCCGTGGGTCGTTTGGCCAAAGACGGCGAAGAACAGATACTCGAAGGCGAGTACCGGATTCATCTTTACTGGAATTCGAGGCACATACGTTTCTTGATTTGTCTTTTTTGCAGTTTATTTATTTATTTATTTTTTTTTAAGGTTTGTTTGGTTGCGCTTTCTCTCGTGACTTGGTTGCTTCGTGCCGTTAGGCTGGCTACTGGTGGACTCGCTATGTATGGATGCGGGTGGTGGTATATAATCATACGTACATTAGAACGAACGAACGATCGAACGAACGATGAATGTACGAACACATGCTCATGCTAATACAGACTGGCCATGCTTTTTTTGCGAATAACGTTGGATGCATGCCGGACGTTCCGTGAGGCTTCGATCCACGTCGTATTGTACATTTTTTTTTTTCGATTGCGTCGTTCGAAAATTTTTCGCCGGTCGTACTTGCTTTTATATGTATATAATAATAATAACAATTATCATTACATCGCTATTTCGTTTCATTTCCGTTTCTTTTTTCTACTTTTTTTTTATATACTTTCCGTAACGTCGGGGCGCAAGAATCCGCGACGACAAACTCGCGGGATGCATCGAGGATCTACAAAAGCCAAGTGTGTGTTTATCGATCACCCGGATTCGCGCGGAGGTACCCCGCGTGTGCTCTTCACCTCTACCCGGTCTCTCCGAACTCACGGGTTCACACAATCGATTTGCCTTTTTTTTTTTTTTTTTTTTTTTTTTTTTGGGGGGGGGAGGTCTTCTCTCTTTCTCCCATCTCTCCCTCTCTCTCTCGCTCTCTCACTCTCGCCCTCTCTCTAACTTTCCGTTCTTCCTTCTCTCGAGCATTCAGGTGGATCAGAGCGTCGCGCGAGCGAACACGTACGTAGAAAGAGAGCTATTTACCGTGCGCATGCAAGGACAACAAGATCGGACGCTTCGCTGCTTCCCGTTGAGATCGTGAAGGAAAAACACGCAAAGCGACCGTTGATTTTCAAACGAAAAGTAGGATTTTCTTTTGGAGCCGGTGGAGATGGAGTTGAGGCGAGGGAGGACGTTTGGCGGATGATAGAGAGAGGATTGGGGTTGGGGGGAAAGGACGTGGTAAAGATGAAAACGGAGATCGAGTCGGGACGGTTTCCGGCGGTAATAGACGGTCACGAGAAAAAATGAAATAAATGGAGAGGAGAGTGTGCGCGCGTCGGCCGGTCCATCATCAAGCTAGAACGTTCCTTGATGTCGACCAGCTCGACGCTTCTCGACATTCGTTATTCGAACATGGTCGATTACATACGTTAGTGACACACAATAATAAAAATGAAAATAAATATGAAACACGCATTGCGCAAGACTCGAACAGCACGAGACAGACAACGTAAAGTTTATAGAAATGCAAATATACGATGCACAACAGAGGCTGTGGAGAAACGCGCGCTCGATTGGCGCCTCCGTGAGATAAGAAACAAAAGCCGGGCGGTGGTCGCCAACCCACTCGGTGAAACGCTCGAAAGATCCCGGGGAAAAACGAGATCGAGATCGAGCAATGGTACACACCGAGTAGCTGCGATTCGGACTCGCGTCCGGACGATTCCGGGATTCTCGGGAGAAACACGCAGAGACGTTTCTCTTTTCTTTTCGTTTCTTTTTCTTGATCTTTCGTTGTCGAATATGCCGGAGGAACGGCGACGTTCAAGATCGCCCAAAGGGGGGAGGTGATATAAAAGAGGAGGAGACACGTACGAAAGAGAGGTGAATGCGTCCCTCGCGCTGGAGGATTCTCGTCACAAGCCCGAATCACAGCGCGGGTTACAGCGCAGTGAGAAAAAACATTTCTCGCAAAAAAGTATATATTTATGTTGAATTTGAATCAGGCAGCAGTCCCAGCCAGGCAACACACATCGGGCAAACGCACAATGCAGACGATACGACACCAAGAAGAATCGTGTCCTGCATTCCGTTGTGCACGTGTCATTGCCATTCATCTCGCGTTCCGTTTCAGGTTGCGTTTCCCGATCCAAAAAAACGTTCTCAATCGTCTCTGTATTATATATATATATTTTTTTTCTGTTCTTTTTTGGTTTTTTGTACATGTAAAACTTACTATCTCGGGAGTTATCGTCACAACAAGGTTTCTTGTAGCGGCCGTAGCGACGAGGAGGCGCCGTCGAAGGCGTCTCCATCATCCATTCCGTAACATTGGCCAACAAATCTATCATTGCAATTGATCCGATTATGCGTTTGTCTCGAGATAACCAGGCTGTTCTATGGCATATATATTCGGGGACGAATCGATAGTTCTTAGTCTCCGTCTTTGAAATTACTAAATCATTCGGAGGCCTGTATGTCGAGGGAAGACCGACGATATATCGGAAATGTTATACTAGTTTCTAAAAAACCTCGCTTACGTTCGAAACTCGTCCTCGAGTTAATCGGAGAGGGGATCAAATTCGTGAATACGCTAACGCTTTGGATAATTTCGAGTGCATCGAAGTGGGCTACGCGGTTTTCTTTTTCAAAAATTCGATATACTATTTACTCCGCGTATCGCATATTCGCGGTCCCATCGACCGCGCCGTTAACTACGCTTTATTTCAAAATGGCTGCGATCGTATATATATACATATATATATATAACATATCCGAGGGATAAGAAGAAGAAGAATAAGAAGAAGAAGAAGAAGAAGAAGAAGAAGAAGAAGAAGAAGACAGAGGGTATAAAATTCAGGAGTCTAATTTTCTCTCCCTTTCTCTCTCTCTCTCTCTCTCTCTCTCTCTAGTTTTTTTTCTCTCGCTAAGTCATCTAAGAAAGAAAGAAAGAAAAAAAAAGAAAGAAGAAGGATCACGGCTAATGTGTGTCACGTGCGTCGAAACTTACCGTCGTAGAAGGGTCCCTTTTTCTTCTTGTCCTCGATGCGCGCGTCTTGAATCGACTGGTTCTTGAACGCCTGGTTCAGCGCGACGAAGTGCATGGAGAAACCAAAGACGAAGATCGCCAATACCGCGAGGAATCTCGCGAGATCCTTCATCAGGTTACCGATGATGATTGCCCAGGGACCGAACAGGTGATGGAACGAGAGGAAGTCGAGGATCTGCACGCAGGCGAGAAGGAAGCTCAACGCGAACAGTTGGTTCCTGAGGTAGAGCAACGTTGGCCAGTAGGGTCGATGAACGATCACAAAACCCATCAGATGGAACGCCACACCGCATATGCCGAAGAGTAATACGGCCAATTTGATCCACCCTAGGCCGCTCTTGTCGCTAGGATTGGTCAGTTCGAACAGCAACAGCCCGGACAGCATCACGAGCAAACACCATTCGTACCAATAGGGCAACAGGCTCGCCCTTACCACTGGATAGATAGGAATTATACCGACCAGCAAAAGGAAGACCATCAGATAAATGTGTGACGTGAGGTACGACATGAACTTTATGATGGGGACGTTGTTGTACTTGTGTCCGAGCGGCAATGCGAAAACCACCCAGACAGGTGGACAGATGAGGAACGCGACGAACAAGAGGATCGTCCTGAACGCGTTCCAATTCAGGCTACCCTGCCACAGCTCTTGCAGATATCGTTGGACAACCGTGTGCGCGATCACCTCTTTCTGCTCGTTCTCTATCAGCACATCCAAGAATTCCACGTTCCTCCGATCCATCGACGTGAGAATCCTGCCAGCGGAATCGGCGCCCGCGGCCAGGGCTAACAATTCCGTGGCCATAGCTTCGCATTGCTTCCCCGCGGCTATCAAATCCTTCGCCCTCTCCTTCTCTTTCTCCGACAGTTTCATATAAATATTGGAGAGCTTGGCCGCAGTGTCTACAGGTGCAGGCGATACAAGCACGAACTCCTCGATCGGTTTGTTGTTGTTGCTCTTGCTGCAGACCATCATGTTATAGACAAACTGTGGAAAGAACCGAACGACACACTAGGAATTCGCGATCGATCCAACGTATCTCCACCAGGAACGAGAGAGAAGTACATGTATCCAGGCTTTCCAGGGAGAAGGGAGAAAAGTTTCGGATCGCGTGCCAGGCTATCTAACTGGTCTCTGTGCTCGCCGAAATTTATTGGCTCCCACCGAGTGTGATGATCATTGCTGGGCGTTATAAAAGTTTCGAAATTTCGTGCCGCGCCAATTGCACTCGGTCGGAGCATGAGTTTCGAGAATAAAAGAGAGGGGTGGTGGTGGTGTGTGTGGAGGAAGGGAAGAAGAATAAAAAGGAAGACGTAGAAGAGAGAGAGAGAACGGTTACCGCTTACCCTCTTATCCTCCATCAGGGCGTAGGTATCGTGCTCCTTCTCCATGAGATACTTGAGCACGTCGTTGTGGCCCTCCGAGGCGGCGAACCAAATCGGCGCGCAGCCGAGATTGGTCTCGCTCTTCGGCGAGGCTCCGCTTTCGACCAGCAATTTAACAACATCGAGATAACCGGCCCGGGCAGCGCAATGCAACGGCGTCCAGCCGTTTTTATCGGTCGCGTTTATTTCTGCCCCCTGACCGAGCAGCACCTCCACCATCTGGTAGTGTCCGTGCGTTGCAGCGATGTGCAGACCGGTTTTCCCATACCGATCCGAGCTGTGCAACAATTCCGCCGATCTGCTTAACAGCAGACCCACCACGGTGATGTGCCCACCGAAGCATGCCAAATGAAGAGGATTAAAACCATTTTCGGTGGTCGCTGCTTCTACCTTCGGTGAAGAATTGAACGTCGTCAATCTTCGTTTCCAAGCTGCTCCTCGTCAAGTCATTCTCCTCGGTGATATTTAAGTTGGAATTTACGCGTTTACCTGAACACCAGCCGAGTTCAACAGCAATCGTACGACGTTCTCGTTGCCGGAATAAGCTGCCAAATGCAACGGTGTCATTCCAGACTCGCTTCCCAATTCTCCTACCAGCGAGCCACCGGTTGGCGGGTCAGATTTCACCGTTCCAGGCACGTGGGTGAGCAGCTCTCTGACGGTATCTGAAGCAAGGAACGGAGGAGAAATTACTGCTTCACTGGCTCGGAAGATTAAGTCCGTGGAATAATTGACGAGCTCACCAGCTTGACCGAAGTACGCGGCTACATGGAGAGCGGTGACTCCCAGCTTCTTGCTGGATATACGCAGAGACTGGGAGGATCTCATCACCTCGAGTACCTGACCGTGGCCGTGTTGCGCCGCTAAGTGAACCGCGGTGAATCCTGCGCGATTCTCATCGGCACAGGAAGCACCTGCCCTCACCAACGCTTTCACCACTTCGGCGTGTCCTCCTTCGGCGGCTAGTTGAAGCGGAGTCGCCTCTGTCAGCTTGTTCCTCGCGGAGATCACACCTTGACGATCGAATTTCATCAATTCTTCGATCACACGCACGCTACCCTGCATCGCTGCTATGTGAGCGCATGTGTTTCCATCCTTGGTGCAAGCCATCACTAAGCTCGGATGCCTTTGGAGAAACAGCTGAGCCACTTCCGCGTAATTGTTCATCGCTGCCGCGTGAATAGGTTTCTGACCCTGGTCGTCAGTCGCGTCTATGCTCGCCCCGAGTTCGAGTAGAAGCTTGCACACTTCCAATTGGCCAGCACCGGCTGCCAAGTGAAGAGGTGTCTGTTTTCTCAGCGTAAGAACGTCTATCGCAGCCCCGTGGTCCTGCACGAGAAACTTGACGAGATGCGAGTAGCCGTTCATCGCTGCCAGGTGCAACGCGGTTCTACCCACTCTGGACTTGGAGTTGATGAACGCTTTGTTCGCGAGCAACGCGTCACAGACCTGCAGGTAGCCGTGTTCAGCCGCCAGGTGAAGGGCAGACCTACCCTCCAGGTCGAACACGTCTACCCTCGCGTGATTCGCCAGCAGCGTAGTCACCAGTTCCATGTGACCTCGATGGGCAGCGATCAGCAACGGTGTCCAGCCTACGGCGCTTTGACGATTCAACGCCTTTTGCACTTCCGTGGCTGTCATGCCGCTGATCATCTCCGACAGAACTTCGTTATTTCCAGCCAGTGCACAGTGATGAAACGCCGACTCTTGAGCCTGTTTCGTCTGAAGTGACACGTCTGCTCCTCCCTCCAATAACGCTCGAATTACCGCTCTATCGTCACCGGGTGTCACAACTTCCGACGGTTCGATTTGGGCGGCATAATGCAGAGCACTTGCACCCTCGTTTGTCAAGCTGTTGACATACGCGGTCGCTACATCCGGACCTTTCCTCTCTTTCACGAACTGGATCAAATTACGCACCACGTCTGCTTTGCAACCTCTGCAGGCTAAGTGCAACGGTGTCTCGCCGTTCTGCTGGAAAACTACGTGTGTTAGGGAATAGGAGAGGGGGGAAGAGAATACAGGAGAGACAGAGGTCCTACCTTTGACTTGAACATAGGATCACCGCCGTCTTCTAGAAGTAGCAATAAGGTCGCCAGGTTTCCGTGACTGGCTGCGACGTGTACAGGTGTCTGACCGTCGTCGGTGGTTAAATTTGGTCCTGCACCGGATTTCAGCAGCATCAGCGCGCATCTGTCGCCGTCTGGTACTCTAGCCGCTATGTGAAGAGGCGTCTCGCGAAGTTTCCCTCCTCGAACGTGAACCTCTGCTCCGTAACCCAACAGAGTCTCCACTACAGCTGGTTTCGCGTTCTCCACGGCTATGTGCAACGCCGTGTAATTGTCGTTCGTTGTTGCGTCCACCTGTGAGAACATTTCTCAGGATCAACGCGATTCGATTTAAGATTCTCCTCCACTCTTCGTTCATACCTTCTCTCCTCGTTGCAATAACGTGCTTATAATGCCAACGTGACCGTACTTGGCCGCGGTGTGAATCGATCTAGCTCCACGTTTATTCGGCATATGCAAATATACACCCTTCTTGAAGAGCATCGTCGCGCACTCCGAGTGCCCGTTCAACGAGGCGATGTGCATCAACGTCGACCCGTCCTTCGTCCTCTCGAATATGCTAGCCTTGAATTTATCCGCCAGAAGTTCGATTATCGAAGCGTGTCCGTTCTCCGCCGCCAGATGCATCGGAGTACGATCCTGATGATCGGTGATGGATGCTGACGCTCTCACCCCGTAGAAATATTTAACCAAAGTCTCGTCGCCCTCTGCGCTTGCTATGTGCAACGCAGTTTGGCCATCGCCCTGAAAATCAAATTTCACTAGATCGTTATTTCTTTCAAAAATATTTCTCTAAAACTCTCCACGGGAATGATTGTTTCGTACGTTTTGCATATCTACAACAGCTCCGTAGTCGACCAATATTCGCACCATGTCGATGTCCCTCCTTCTAGCTGCCAGATGAAGCGCCGAGTCTCCTGTGGGCGTGGTAGCGCGAAGTTGATCAGGTGCCTGTTGAGCCAGCAATTCCCTGCACATCGACTGATTTCCAGCTTCCACTGCCAGCAGCAACGGGATCTTTCCTCTCTGGAATACGTTACGAATGTAACGCAACTAACAACGACATTCCCAGAGAGTGCGTTCTCTTATTGGATACGGTGGATTGTCGCGTTGAGTGCAGGGAGAGACATTAGCCTGGATCGATTCTCAACGAAGGGAATAAAAAGGAGAATCCGTCGTGCGATTTCCATAAATAGCTTCTATTCGTATATAGACGTAAATATCGATGTTGGCGAGCGGAGTTTCCCTTGGAATCGCATAATCTTGCTCGTTTACGAGACAAAGCGACGGGGTAGAGGACATTAGGTGGAGGCTGGTGGGTGTGCGTGCGCGGAAGGATGGAGAGAAATGGTTGGAAATTGTGTAGGAGGGAAAAGAAGAGTAGGAATAAGAAGAAGAAGAAGAAGGGAGCCAGACGGAGAATTATGACAGCTGTTCGGTACCAGGCTGCGATAGTCCTGGGCCATCATTCGTGTCACGCGAGAAACGTGGACGGGAATCGGGAGCAGTGCGCGATAGAAATCGCGCAAAAAACTGTTTGCTGCGACCGTGGAACACGGTGTTTCTTTACAATTTTCCAGCTGGAAAGATGGAGGAAAAGCTATTCTATTCGTGTGTATTAACTTACCCCGTCGACTTTCAACCTAATGTCCCGGCCGGCGGCGGCCAGTAGCGCTCGTAAAATGGACGTCGCTGTCCCAGTTTGCCTGGATGCGACCAGATGCACGGCTGTTTGTTGCCTCGGCTATACGAGAGCGTTAGAAAAGATATTCTCGTAATTCGTGGATAGTTTGGACGTGGATAAGGAAAAGGCTCATACCCCTCCAGTCGCGTAAGGATCAACCCCTCGTTTCGACAGCAGCAACTTGACAACGTCTTCCCTCGAGTACATAGCCGCGATATGGAGAGCATTGTAATTGTCCTAGGAAAGAGGAAGAGGAGTTTAAAGATCAAGCGAGACGAATCGTTCGTATACATGATCGACGGGAGGATCTTCATCTCGTGTTTTTCTCCACGATCGAAGGAAGTAGCGTTGGTGTTAGGGGGTTGGGAAATAAATGGACGAGAATCGGCGGGATTGAAGTTGGGGTCAAGTGGTTGGAGTATGGAAACCGGGTTATAAATCGCGTTTCGCCGCGCCCAGAATAAAACGGACGGCTTATCGTCGAACGATTTGAAAATGACGTCGAACCGACACGTTGGGTGGGGCTGGAAACCTCGAGGCTCGCGATTAGCCATTAGTCAAAGGGGTAACGAGGGGTGCGTCAAATACGTTTTTCCGCGAAACTCTCTCCGGGGATTCTCGGAGTTGCGACTGTCTTGCTAATCGCCTAGAATTCCCTGTCGGGAATCACGTAATTGTTCCGGTTGGAACACCGGAACGGGCGGAGGAGGTTTTAGGATTGGCCCAGGTTGTGGGCGTAACCCCATAAGCACGGTGGCCGCGAAGAAACGCGGCGATATAATCTAGAAGTCGGTCGCTAATCAGCACTCAGAATCGAACTACTTTTTCGCCCTACTGACTCACCGGCCTAGTTGTGCTTGCTTACTTTCTTCGTTTGTGAAACCCCTTGGCCTTGGCCCTCCTTCACGCGATCTTACCCTCCTCCGCTCGACTTAACACGGATTACAAGGAGATCGTTAACTGTACACGTTCCATGGTCTGCACTGGCTCAGGCCACGCAGCTGCCTCGAATATTACGTGTCGCTGCCACGCAACATGGCCACGAACTTATTCCAAGAGCCAATCGAGAGGCTAAGGCTCGTTCTCGGCACGAAAACGTTTATCGTCGTTCATGGAATGCAGAGGCCTGACTAAGAATTCCTCGAATCTAACGATTAAGCTTTACCCCGGGGGAGAAACCACGTCAGGCAAATTGTACCGGGGGTGTTTCTTGGAATACTTGCGTTGTTCCTTGCGCCCACGTCAGCTCCTAGCTCTATCATCCGGTCGAGTAACGCAGTCCGATTGTCCTTAACAGCGTACATCAACGGTGTCATACCCGTCGCCTAGAAATCAGAAGTGCTCATCTGAAATTCTCCGTAGAATGTGCTTCTCTTCGTCAACTGACCGGGTCTATGACACTGGCAAGTGGAAGAAGAGGACCATCCTCTCCGACATTCTGCACCGCCTTCTCCATAGATTTGAGCAACTGGTCCACCGGTGCCCATTCTCCACGCGCGGCAACCCCGAGGAGCTTTTGTGCTGCCTCTCTGCTGGTAGCTCCAGCGGAGCCAGGCTTACTTCCAGGCTGCGTTCCATCCGTGCTCGCTGCTCCGCCTGTGCTTCCCGTCGAGGCCGATCCTCCGGCCTCATCTTTCCCAGTCACAGGACTTTCCTCTTTACTCGACGGATTCTTCTTTTCTTCCTTCCCACCCGATGTTTTCTTACTGTTACTGCTCATGGTACCTCGTACGTCGGTCTCTCATCGTCGAGCACCGACATGCTTCGATCGAACTCTTCTATTTGATCACTTTTGAAAAATTACCTCACAATTTTTCCCCCTTATCCTTCTTCTTTCCCGTTTTCAACAGCCTCGGGTCCAACAAGATCGGTCTTCGGAACAAACAAGATTACTCTTCCCGGTTTTACCACTTGAGAAGAAAACAAAAATTTACCTCGCGAGATCTCTCTCTCTCTCTCCTCCTTTCCGTCAATGTTCGTCCCCGCGATCAATGCCGAAATTAACGAAAATTATTCGCCGAACGAAGAAACGAAGTGGGAACGCGTGCTAGCAGCGCGTTTATCCTGGCGATTCTGAAGACGTTACGTAGCGGAGGTCCGCGAAGGGTTGCCTTCCCTCGACCCTCTCGCTGCTCGGCCAGGATCGACCAATCACTGTCACGGTAGCGCGCGAATCCACGGGGCAACCGTGTACACACCAACTCGAGTTGGAGTAACGCTGCACCGACGCGTGCCGTTCGCCTAACCGGCTCACCCGCTGGCCACCGTAGGCCTCGCTACGTTGGATGCTAAGAAAATGCGGTAAACCAGTGGCGAACCCGGTGGTGGTTTCTTCTGGAGAATACTAGCTGGAGAGGGGTGGGGTGAATAGAACGGTGGTACGGTGGTGGCATGGTCGACGCCGACACGCGACTTCCGGCGCGGGCCACCAGACACGCCATCCACCTATCTCGAGTCCACCGGTTTTAGACTTCAACCGCCGCTGCCCTCCACGCCATTTACCCTCCCTGTTCCCTTCTTTTTTTTATACTTTGCTACATACCTTTTCCACGTCGCTTTTGCGAGTTGTTTCAATGGAGAGGAAGTTGATGGAACGATTCTGAAAGAATTGTGGCCCTACTCTTTACACGACCACTTCTTCGTCTCCGCTCTCTTTCGCCGTGGATTAAATTCGCAACGAGGAATTTCCTGGGACTTGTGAATGAAGATATCGTTTATCAATTCTACACGGTGTTCTTTTATTTTTCCACTTTTTTTTTAACCTTATCGAGAGGCTGGCAATCTTCGAGGAGGCGATTAGCGTTACGCGAGACAGGAAAAAATGAACATCGCGAAATTTAGAACTTTGACTTTCCATATTTTTCGGAGATTAGAAACTCTTCTCTCTTAGATTTAGCGGAGCCTAATTTCTTTACCGTTTCGGGCTTGAAAAAAATTCAGGAATACTTGGAAAAATCTCTGCTTGCATTGTACAGTTGCTGGTAAACCAAACGTTTCTCCAATGAAAATGAAAATCCGTTGGAAAGAAATACACGCGGGTAGCCTTTGTTACTTTTATCTGTAACTTTTTCTCTCTCGTAAGACAGATGTTCGTTATAGCGCTTATGAATGGAGTAGGGTGGCAGTTATCGCTTACAGACTCTCGTGAAACAGCTGTGCGAGTTAATTCGGTCGTGGTCGCTGTTTGTACATGTATAGTCATATTAAACGCGTTACAGTGGTTATATTGAATTACGCAAGCTGGAAGCGTATAAATTGATACATCAGATTATCAAAGGTCAAGTGAGCGTGGAGAGGAGAAGAAGCGGGTTTAGGGGATTGACTCGAACGTTAGTTAGATTGATATTACTGTCGGCAGTATGTACGGCGGCTATGGGCAGCAGCGATAGTAAACAAAGAAGTGGGAAACTCTAGCGGATAGCGGTGACGGACGAATTCGTAACGTGCACGAACAGCAACCCAATCCATTCGTCGTCGAAACTGGAGTAACGTCGTCGTATCGGTGATCTCTCGGCGGTACTGTAATTTACATTCCCGTCGAAGAAACCACTGTACACTCTGGTGCACGCGTCTCTTTCTGTGTGTGTGTGTACGTGATACAAGGAAAATCGTTGGATCGAAAGAAATGCTTCGTTCGTGGATAACCAGGAATTCGTCCTTGTTGCCAGTATACGCGGGAGTTCACATAAATCACCCAGATGTTTGTACCGCGGAGAACTCGTTGCTCGGTGAGTAGAATCCACGGGGAAGAGTAGAGGGATATACCTACGATCGTGTAACTTACATAAGGTCCAACTTATCAAATTCTTTTCTTACCCAGCTCCGGCATGGAAATTACGCAATATTTCGATTCGACAGAATCGACTGAATCATCAGGTACAAAGTAACCTCTCGTACATGAAGCTCGGCGGAGACGTACCTTTGACGGACACTACCGTGGGAAAATTGTTGGAAACCGCTGTGGAAAGATGGCCAGATAGAGAATGCGTGGTGTCGATCGATCAAGACGTGCGTCTCACGTTTTCGGAGGTGCTCCGTCGTGCGGATCGTTTGGCAGCCGGTTTGACGAAACTTGGTATAAAGATGGGCGATTGCCTCGGTGTGTGGGGCCCGAACGACGTCGAGTGGTTAATTAGCTTCATGTGCGCCTCCAGAGCGGGTCTAGTTTTGGTCACGATCAATCCGACATACCAAATCGACGAGTTGAGTTACTGTATACAAAAGGTTAACATGAAGGCGGTGATATCGCCGGTTAATTTCAAGATGCAGAATTATCCACGCATGCTGCTCGAAGCTAAACGAAGGTGTCCCAGTTTGGAGCATATAATTATCTATTCGAAGGATCACGTGACGTAAGGAATAGTTCGATCAACGTCTCTAGCCGGCCACTGTCTCTCGCAGAGATATAGATCCTCCGAGATGTCCTGTTACGAACGGATATACGTACAGGGTGTTGCAGGAACGGCGGTACAACCGGGAAGAGGGTAATTTTAAAAAGTATGTCGAAATTGCAGAAGAGCGCAGTTGAAAAATCACAGCTCTAGGTAAGCCACGACACGTGCAACATTTGTAACAATTAGAACACTTAACGCTTAAAAAATAATTGTCATGCTTATCTACGAAGCAATCCAGAGTGAAGCGAGATAGATGATAAGAACAGATAAGAACGATACTGACCATGTTCATCATTAACGGTCTAAGTGATTTTTCTCGAAAACAAAGTCTCGTGTGCCTACTCTTTCGGAAGAGATTACTCTCCTTCCGGTTGTAACACCATCGCTAGGACACCCTGTACGTGCACACGCGGGGGCTATCTCTCGCGAATGATATATCCCAGTTTCCTTGGAATTTCGTCTAATTTAAGGAGGGGAATGGACATCGCGCGATAACTCTTGGTATCCGGCCTGGTCGGTGGTCGATAAAGGGACAGGTCGCCGGCGACCGAGCCACGTAAATCCTTCGTCCTTAGGAAACGCGGTCTCGCCCCTCCAAGTCCGAGTAAATTCGTCCCTAGCTCGTGATAAGTTGGATCGGCCGAGGTCGAACGCGGTTCTAATGTATTCCCGCGGCTCGACGCCCCGCGCGGTCCGCTGATTCATGAATATCGCGTGTAACAGCGAGAACGCGGCAACGCGATCGACGCACCGACCGTCTTCGACTATGGCCGATGTGTTAATACCTCAACAACCACTTAGGTGTGCTTGAGATCCGTTCAAAGACCTTAACTCTTCACCTTTTTCCTCCTTTTCGCTGGATTTTTCCATCGTTTCGAAAAGTGTCGTTGTTGTAATTTCTCGTTCGAAGAATTACTTTGTTTCTACGTGGATAGATTGTTCAACACGCTCGCTAATTTCCACGATATGCCGCTGTCTCGGTATTTGATACGAATTTCGCGTGAATTAAGCGCAGGCCGCGTTAATTTGCATTAGGAAAGACCGATGAAAATGTAGATATCGTGGAATACGAGTGCGAAAATAAATAGCGAGCGATGGCAGCGAACGTGTTAACGAGAGTGCAGTTATGCAGCGTGATGCAACTGTGTGTTTACCGAGAAGTAAATTAAACAGGCATCACGGAAGATTAATTGATACTTCTCGCAAAACCGGCGAGTGTTCGTTAGGATTTACCTAGTTTCTTCGAGCTTTTCTATTTACCGACATCTCGAGAAACGGATTCGGCAACGGACTTTGGCGTAATGTCCGCTCCCGATATCGCATTCTCGTATTTTTTTTCAAAGGCGCTCTTATACGCACATGTGCGCGATATCCTTCGCGTTTCAATGATAACGAAGCGGCACGTGTCGACGATTCGAATCATTCGCAACCGAGGCAATAAAATGCAGTCGAGTTGTCTACATTTAAGTGCGCATTATCTAGACGTCAAATGAAAATACGTTACACCAGAACTGCTCGCTAAAAAGAGAAACTTGATAAGGTAGTAAGGAAGTACGCGAGAAACGCGTGACAGCTGATGACCTTTGGTTTAAAGAAGTAGATCATTTTTGTGCATACTTGACGAGTTACTTTTCATCGTCGTTATCGCTATTCGAAAATAGCTACGTCTTGTTCAGGTGCACATTCTCCTTCGTAACTATCGGGACATTTATTAGACGTAAAGCAAACTTAAACCCGTAAACTATCTCGATATCCTAATCAAGCTGACAGCAACGTTGCCGGTATTTAACGGACGCGTTTCTAACTCGGAAGCCTCGATTAACAATTCCAAAACAACTTAAGTCGACGTATAATTTTGCAACTTGACTAGAGGTATGTATATTTTTTACCGGTAGATAACGTAATACGTGGAGCAGTTAAGTCTGGCAAAAGGAATCGGACTCGTAAGAAGATAAACCAGGTGTTCTAATACGTATCGATAGGAGTGTACATCGGAATAAGCGGAAACAAATTAGCCGATATACTCGGCAATTTGGTGAAAGCGCGACCTCCACAGCCACGGTTCGGAGGCCGCAATCAGGCCAGCTGCACAAGCCGATTGATCGTTTAGCGCCACCCCTGTGTCCGGTCGCGATCTATTTTCAGCCGTGTCTCGTAATTTTCAAACTTTTGCCCGATCATCGGGCTCGATTTGATTAATAATCGGTGCCCGATGGAAAGGAATCACCGGCGAGCAATTAGGTTAATGGGCAACGGCTGTTCCGAAGCCTGTTACTCGCGCCTCGATTCCGCCTCTACATCGCTTCTATAGGCTCGGTGTGTACCGATCGATGGGATCCGGCTAACGTGTTTTTAAATTCTTCCCAGGGGCACTCAACGTTTCAGAGACGTGGAGGAGAGCGCCTCGAGGATCGAGACTGAGCGAGTCGCGGCTCGACAGGAGGAGATATCCTGTCACGCGGGTAACAATGTACAGTTCACCTCGGGAACCACTGGTATGCCTAAGGCAACGCTTCTCTCCCATAGATCACTGGTGAACAACTCGAAACAGGTATAATCGTACGCTCTTGCCAAGTTTCTTTTTCAACGGTGCAACTAACAAGGGAAGTCTGGCAAGGTGAAAATTATGAAGAAATTGTTTACCGGTGAAAACACTGTCTCGGACAAAATTGCGAGTTTTCGTACCACCGTGAATATTTATTTGTGGTTTCACGCGGGCCGAAGTGGTAAACTCTACGCTTTGCTGTAGCATTATAGTGATTATAATTTTCACTTTCCTCTCAAAATTTACCCACACCGATTTTAATTTTTTCAAGTTTCACACTTTTCTGAACTTTCGGCTCACCGAACGTTCCCTCGCAAGTCTATATTCTAGAGCAAATATTTCCGAATTGTGACGGTACAGGGAGCGACGAGATCGGAATTAGCCACTGGACAAAGGGTCTGCTTGAACGTTCCATTCTTTCACGCGTTCGGCGTAATTAAAGGATTGCTCTGTACGCTTCACGCTGGGACCACGCTCGTTCTTCCAGCTCGGTCCTTCAACCCCGTGAAAGCGGTGGAGGCAATCGTACGAGAGAAATGCGACATCGTTTACGGGACACCGACGATGTGGGTAAGATAGCTAGGACTTGGAGGCGTCGCACGGTAAACGAATAAAAATCTCTCTCCCGGCCGTAAATGAAATAATATCCATATTTACTCTCAGATCAATTTACTGGACGTCCATCAACGTCTTAAACCGCCGCCGATAACTCTCTCGTGTGGAGTGACCGGTGGTTCCCCGACGTCGCCGGAGCTCGTCAAGAAGATAAAAGAGTGCTTTCATTTCGACAATTTGAAGGTACGATCTGGCCTTGTCGAAAATATTTAGAATCTCACATTTTCTCTTAATTAAACTACCTGTGTACGTTTCAACGGAAACGAGAACGCGTGCAGGCGCGCCTGCAATGCACGACGATGTCAAGGTGATCGTGTACGTAGCGCCACGCTCGATCTACCAAGTCCGCTCGTAAAAATCACACAGTTTTATTTGTAACACGACTCTCTCTCTCTCTCTCCCGAGAGAGAGAGAGAGAGTGTGCGATTCCTAACGAAATTCATACGGTCTGTAGGGGATCAACGAAGGTCGTCGACACCGACGATAGGGTCGTACTTAATTCGGGCCGGCATAACGCGTCGCGTTCCCCCGTGTTATCTATGCACATATCTTCCACGGTGCAACTCCTCGGTCCGTATGCATAAATACGATTCCGCGCTGAGAAATATCGTTTCTTGGCTACGATCAATAAACGTTCCCTTTCGCGAAATCGGCCTCCTCCGGGCACTCCTACCCTATTCCAACGACGAATTACACGATGCTTGATGCTTGACAGATGATATACGGGCTGACGGAGACCACGGCGATCAACTTCCACTCTCTGCCCAACGAGCACAACGAATTGACGGAGACCACGGTTGGTTATCTTTCCAATCACATCGAAGTAATGGTAAGGAGTAAAGAAGAAAAAAAAGAAAGAAAGAGTAATTTTCATAGAGTACTCGGCGGTTGTCGTTGACTAAGCAGATTTCTTTCCGTTTGAAAAGGTCGTTGACGTGAACGGCAAGGCTGTTCCCTTTGGTACACCCGGGGAACTCTGGGTCAGAGGGTATTGCACTATGAAAGGATACTGGGGCGACGAGGAGAGCACTAAGAAGACTTTTACCGAAGACGGTTGGCTGAAAACCGGCGATCGATTTATTCTTAGATCGGACGGTTACGGACAGATTGTCGGTAGACTGAAAGACATGCTAATTCGAGGCGGGGAGAATATTTTTCCAAAGGTATGAATATTGCTAAGGCGGTGTCGTTGTGGTAGTTGTTATTCGTGCGAATCGCCATTTGCAGGAGGTCGAGGATATGCTGATGACGCATCCCTCTGTGCTCGAGGCGCAAGTTATAGGGGCCTACGATAAAGTGTACGGAGAAGAAGTGTGCGCATGCGTGCGCCTTCGAAACGGCGCGAGTCTCACGAAAGAAGAGCTGAGGGAGTACTGTAAGAAACGAATGGCGCCGTTCAAGATACCGCGTTACGTGGAATTCGTGGACGAGTATCCGAAAACCGCCAGCGGAAAGGTACAGAAGTATAGATTGAGAAAGGAACTGGAACAGAAAGGTGTGATTCCTTCCCAGTAGGGCGACGATGCTTCAACGAGGATTAAACAAGACTTATCGCTGTTCTTAATAGTCCGATTTTTGAAATTAACGAGAACACGTCGAAATCTTCACGATCGATCTATAAAAATAAAGAAATACGAGTGATATAATTTTTAAACGTATGATTCTTTTTTGCACGCGGTAACCGCGGTTATCGTTGAAGAGGAAAAGGCGAAACGATTTCACAGAGGGCGCCACGTGTGCGTTTCACGTGTGTTCGCAAAGGCACCCGGCAAAGTAGAGAACTATAACCGTTCCGCTGGAGTTACCATCGAGATAGTCGAACACGTCAGCGCCTTCTTTAACCGCGTTAAAAAAAAAAGCTACCTTAATTGTAACGTTACCTTAAGTATTCTACGTAACTTTTTTGTTCTCACCAATAAAAACGGCAGCGAAACGAACGGAACGTCGAAGGTAGAAACGGTGTAGAAATTGTTCGCAACTAACGTAATAACAACTTTATCGGAAAGTTTGGCTTGCAGGGTCGACGACGGAGTAACGCGATATGCAGGATCTCTTGTTCGGATTCGCATTTTCCACGACAGCACGTGTCAGGCGTTGTTTTTACGCTTACGCGAAGCCTCGTGCTCGCCAACTGTCACCGCGAAAAACGCTGATCGGTTGATCGATGACACCGTCCACTCTTCGGGAAGCGATGGATAATGACTGGTGGAAGGAAGGAAGCCACCATGGTGATAGGAAGTTGAGTGTAAGAAGCGGAGAGGAGATAAAGGAGGAGGCGAAGAAGAAAGAAGCCATCGAAATCCGTGGATTCGAGAGGGGCACGTGTTTCAGGTGGCGTCTAATTGAGGATGGATGCCTCGGGCAACGAGTCTCGCTCCTTTGGAAGACTGGAAGACTTGGAAGAGGCGTGCATTACTGCGGCAGATGGTGGTCGTGATTGCAGCTGCTCGGCGAACGAACACCTGCCGTTTTCTCCGCCGTCTATCGAGATGGACGAAATCACTGTCCAGCCTCCCCCTCTTTCTTCAGCTTCTGTTTCTTCTTCTATCTCCTCCTCCTCCTCTACCTTGTACAGGTAGACCAAAGTGCTTACGTGCCCTCTGAAAAGAAGAAACAGATTGGAATAGATATTAGATATCGATCGACGTTCAAGAAGAGGACCCATTCGGTGTAATACGAAATGTCTCTCTTCTCTCGTGGCTGGGACAAAAACGAGAGAGATAGGGGAAAGTGATTTTTACCACGTCGAGGCGAATTTTTAAATATCCCTGTTGCGAGCAGAGAGGAACACGCGGCTAAAAAACCGGTCGTGGCCGGATCGTCTGGAGAAGTGGGAATTAATTTTGGCGCGGAGCCAGAGCGTATACGTGCACGGGGAGCACGCGGAACACCATTGGTGAAGAAACGGGACGGATAAAGGAGAGAAAGAAGGGAGATGCGATAGGAAAGTGAATTCACCATCGGGACAGATTCGCGTGGAAAATTGGTGTGCAACCCGTGGACCCGGGGCTGACAGTCCGGACAGACGAGCGTGACCACGATTTCTCTGACTCGGGCAGTAGGAAGGAGCTAACGAGCTGTCAAGTGTCACCCGGGATCGAGACCGTTCCGAGTCACCGATAAATGTCGATGCTGCCCGAGAGAACCTCCTTTGGCAGATGCTCGTCCACCTTTTCGCCATCGTCCCTCCCCCTAAAACCAGTGCCGTCAAAGACGAGACAGCTTCGAAATTTCTTTTCTCGAATCGAGGCCAGCGCATAATCGATTCGCCTTTTCGCTCTGGATTCCCCATTTCCGGGCTTGACGACTTGTATAAAAGATCTCGGTGACGAGACACGAGGGACGAGGGGGAGAGAGGAGAGAGAAAAGATAAAGGTGGAGGACAGGTGGCGGCGTGATCAGGGGGTGGAAAGAGAATGGAAGAAATTCCAGAGTAGTAGGCGGAGAATGGCGGTAAATTAAATACGGCAGCAGACCCCGGAGGGGGTTCTCGTTTAATCGCTTAATCGAGACTCCAGAATGCTCAGGGCATTCGTAAGCGAACGGGTGGCTCGCTTTCGTTTCGTCTCGATGAAAGCTCTCGAAAGGGTCGGCAATTACTTAAAAACGAAGTTGCGCACCATCGTCGCCGCCGTTTTCTTTCCACCTTTTTCTCCCCCATCGACGACCGGCCGCGCGCGTCCTCTTTCCCCCCCCCGCCCCTCTTGCTCCTCCACCTTTCTACCCCCTTTTTATCTCTCGCTCTTCGCTCTCGTTGCTTTTACGCGTTTTTCACGGCCCGCCATATCCCGACTGCGCGGCGGCGGCGGCGGCACCAACGGCAGCCGGCCAACGACGGACCCTGGATCTTCTCTGTTCGGATAACGACAGCAATATCCAAATAGTAAAACGATTGGCAACCGCCGACTCGAGGGCACGGCAAACACTCGAATAGTGGCTGGATCGATGAAAGGTGGTACGCGAATCGCGGCAACCGGCGTAATAAAAGAGTCCGACCGCGTAAACGTAATCCACCGCCCTTCCCTCCTCGCCACATTCTCACCGGCTACCGGTCTCGTTCGTTTTCCCTCGAATTCTTCGCCTTTTCCGAAACTACCCTCTGCGTATCTCGGGCAACTTGCTCGTTGCGGCAACGGTGAAATATAATTCTTACGAAACATACGATGGAATCGTTCGATGAATATTCCTCGTTAATTTTTTCTCGGTAGGATGACGTAAAAGTGAATGGGAAGATAGAGTTAACAGAGAGAGAGAGAGAGAGAGAGAGAGAGTCAGTAGCGAGCACAGTTCGTCGTTGTTCATCCTTCCAGAGCAGGAACGTTGGTTGCTTCCGGTTGGAAGGGCAGAGAATGGAGCCGGAGTGTCAGAGGGAATGGAGAAAGCGATGAGTAATAAGGAGGTTCCCGGTCGAGACGGAAGAATATTTCGTGGTGGTCGCGACACTCGGCAGTAGACCGCGCGTAGACGCGTGTAGTAGACACGTATATAGCGTATAGTCGGGAGAATCGGGGTTATACGCGAGGATCGATATTATTATTCCGGCGACGATCGCGATGCTCGAACGAACTCCACTCGACCGCTCGCTCGCGTCTTACACCCGCCGCCTTCTTCGACTGGTCCCCGGAGATCGATCGAGGAAAAGTACTCGCGTAGTTGGGAACGGAGGGAAAAGGCGCGATGCGGCGAATTACGCGTCCGGAAAATAGGCAACAATGAATCTTTAGCCGGCGTAAAAGCACGTTTTTGCGAAACGATCGTCGCGAATAGGACGAGATGAGAAGCATTAAAGACGAGGGAGAGAGAGAAAGAGGGGCAGATGGAATCGGTGCCGCGCAGCGAATCACGGTTGCGCGTCTTTCTCCTGGGCAAAAAGTCCTGGAAGAAGCTTAATGGAGCGTCTCTCGAGCAGCGGAACGATCCGTGGACGAGTAGAGTCTCTTTCTCTCTTTACTCTCTCGGCTCGCGAGTTTTTCTCGCCTTTCCCCTCCGAATCGTAAGACTGCCGCCTCACGGAAATCCCGCGTGGGGTCCAAGATTATCGCGTTCCCATAAAACGAACGAGGAACACTCTCGTACTTGAGCCCGTGGACGAGGAGATAGAGAGAAAAGAAACGCACCGGAAGCAGGGACAAAAGGAAAACGGGCACGGCTCTACGTTCCTCCGTGGGGAGAAGCGTTGTCCTCGAGGAATTTCGTCGAATGGCGGCGGCGACGGCGGCGAGACGCACGATGACGAATCCTTGTTTCCGCTCGGCTTCGCCCACGACTACTTCACAGCGGAACAGAAGGCTTCGTGAACCGCGACGAAACTTCTCCTTTTTACCACGTTTTCCTTTATTCCCGCCGAAAAATTTCCCCGGCTGTTTCGATCGTTCTGGAGAAAGGTACGGTGAAACGATCTTTGAAAAACAGGTAAAACTACCACCGATCCTAGATACACACGGTAGGACGCGCGTTCGATATCGCGCGGTGGTGCTGTTTTTTTTCTCCGTGTCGAAATGGAAATAATCCGACGATAGAATAACGATAACGATAAAGCCCAGCTTTCACGTGGCGAATCGTGAACGAAGGACGAGCCAGAGGAGGAGAGGTGGAGAGGTTGGCACATCGAGACCCGAAACCATGGCGTTTTCCGTCCACGTAATCGATTTACGAGGAGTCATTCGTCCCCAGCGTTTTTCTCCGCCGAGGCAAACGTCGTCGAGGCACGAAAGCGAGGTGGAAGCGTGCCGCTCGGTTTGGACCGAGGGACCGTATCCCCCTTCTCTCGCAGGCCTCGAGATCTCGCTCACCCTACTGTCCATTTCCCTTTGTCGCTTGGCGTTTTCTCGTGGTTGCGATTCTCCGTTTCTCTCCTACCCTCCCATTCTATCTTTCCAAACCATACTCTCTCCACCCTATGAAAGGCCGCCAGAGAATTCTCCCTGTTCCGTATCGATCGAACTCGAAGACGAAGAGAGAGAGAGGAGAGAGGACCACGTCCAACGATTTAAGTCTATTTAATGGCGATACATTGTTTAGTATCGCGCTCGCCTAATATAATTCGTTCAGGTTCGCTCCCCCATTCGCTTACGTGTTTGCCTACCCTATGTAAAATCGCCTCGCCTTTGCATCTCCGTTCGAAAATCCACCCCTTGCACAGTTGCAGGCCTGCGGCGGCACTACGCCTACGGTAGTATAAAGGGTGGCCAGAATTGGTCATAGGGTTGCGATACTCCTCCTGCAGAGATAGATTCGGAGGTGTGGAATAAAATTTCTTTACACTTCGGGGAAGGGGGACGTTCTCGCTTTTGGGAAACTGGTATAAAGGGGGACAGACGGCGTGTGCGGAAAATGACAGTAGAACGAGGGGGGGGAACGGTAATGTTGTATCGTTGCGACGAGTTTAGAATTTTCTCTCTGGTTCGGAGCAAAAAAAAGTCGTAGGACCGTTGAGAAAAATGTCGTTCGCATCTGTACTATTCGATTTCTTTTTCATTTTTATCTTTTTACAAAGAATCGCTCGTGTATATACACAGACGATTCTATGCTTTTTTCAGTAGTGGACTTTTTCGGTTGTTCGTATTTACAGAGACGTCGGCTGGAATTAATAAAGCCTTTGGTAGAGCCGTACGGATTTTTTCTATCAATTTCTCGGCTACGTTCCATATTTGAGCGTATTGTGCTCCGCGAACAATA